AGTACTTCATAATTGGTTTGAACTAAAATAAATGTTAATAATTGCTAAAGTAATGGTAATGCTTTTATGTATTTTATTATGTACAATATAAGTATTATTCATTCCTCATTTCCACATAAGTATCATTTAATGTTTTAAACGCTTAAAAGGAATGTTTGCACACATGAATAAAAACGTTACAAAAGTGATTTACACAACAAACAAGCAGTTAATTCTCAGTATTATTAAGATTTAATATACTGTGTCATAACTACAAGTTAAGCAAGATATATGATCACATGTTAAACCACGTAGAAATAGAATGAATGAATGAATTTTAAATAACCCATATCTTGAAGTCAATATGGCAATGGCCAAACACTACAGTAAACCCGCATATGGCGAATTTTTTCACATAGAACTTCATAGATATTTTAAGCAATTTTAGCTCTTGTAAATTTTTAAAATGATCTAAGAGTTTAGAAATAATAATTTTGCAATAACTATGAAGTTTCAAAATAAAGCAACAATAATTATTAACTACACATTGCAAAGAACTTCCAAATAACTATGTTTTATATTCATAAAATTAAACTACTTCTACCTGATGTTTATAAAATATAATAGGTAACGCTTGTAGGCCCTTATTAAAGCTTTTTAAAGTATAATGCAATATTATTATTCTATATTTTACTAATTTGTTCTTTTATAATGCTCTAAATTTCCTTTACTTTAAAATAAATTAATTTTCAACAGATGACGGCTGGTTTTGAGAAGCATCCACAACCTTAGACCAGGGATTCCCAACCAGGAAGTATTCCTTCCTGAGGGAAATTTCATAGTTATAGAGGGAATGAAGTCAGCCTTTAATCTGCCTGTTAATTGTTTAGATTTATTTATGACTATAAAAAGCTATTTTATTCAACTTTTGGTATTTATAAAATTTTTCTATATTTTTCTTGTTTAATTATTAAACATATTGAAAAGGAATACAAATTTAAATAAATGTACATATGTTTTTTAAATTTTGGAAAAGAAAGGGGGGAATGATCGTCTAGCAATCATGAAGGGGGAGTGTGGGGTAAAAAAGGATGATGACCACTGCTTTAGACTAACTCCATCACCATATGTACCATAGAAATACTGTATAAAAAATGACAGTTCCATTTATAGACAATTCTACAATTCAACTTTCTCACTTTAACTGTATTTTTTTATATTACATTAAATAAGACTACACGAATAAAATCAGTTAATAATATTTATTTTCTGGATTTGAAGTCAACAAGTGAATTATATTTCACTTCTGATACCAAAAACTTTGTTACAGAATGATTTAATTGCAATGTATAAAATATCCTGACATTTTTTTAATTTTTTAAAAGTGTATGTCTATAATATTAAGTATAAGCATATATTAATAATTTGCTTTAAAGGTTTTTATATATTTTAATAATTTGTAATAAACGATTAATATTGATTCGTATTCTAAGACTCTCAAATCACCTTTGTTGTGCCCAAATTAATTCAAAATGTCACTCAAAATGAATATCCGAGAGAATAGTCTTAACTATAAAGCTTCATCGAAAAAATCTGTCTAATTACAAGACTCGTAGAATATTCTATCTAAAATACTTCTTTGTCTCAAATGATGACCATTAACTAAAGCGTTCCCAGAAATTATCTAACATTTCACCAGCCATTTCTTCTACATTGTTGTCTTCGAAATTATTCACATCTTGTTTTATAGCTTGAATTATTTTAAAATCAAACAGTTCGGTCCATCATGCGGTGATGAAGCAGTTATAAAGCTTGGATCTGTTTTTTGGGAGGCGGATATTCTTTATTTTAGTAAAACTTCCATCTTTTTAACTCTCAAATATCTTAAATTGTTTTAGATAAATTTTGTTTTTGTTTTCAGCCTTGATTTTGTTCTTTAGTTTTCCGAATTTTGTCAGTAATTAACGCATTACACTACTTCTTTATTACATTTGATTAACAAAAGTAGGCATATTTTCGTTTGAGGTCCTAAGTATATATATTTATATATATATATCAGTTCAAAGAACCAAAAGAAGTACTGTTTCGTTACATGCGGGTTTTAACTTCGATTCAATGCTGCGGCTATATTTAAAATGGAGGATGAGCAGCTTTTCAGCTACATTGAATATGAGCATTTAGGTACGAAACGAAGTACAAACACATGAAACGAAACGTGTGCAGCGATTACAGTTTGGACAGTGAACTCTGTAAGTCAGTAACATGAATATTGTTGAAAACATAAGACTGGTTCCATAGTACGCTGAAATATCAGATTAGGTACATGTCATATTAACTGTATCCGAGTTCGGGCTATTCCTTCTTTCATTCGATAAACATCTTTATTGCAATTTTGTATTTATATTGCTATCGAAGAAATCCAAAAAACACTTTAATAACATTAAAAAAAACCTTTTTGTTATAATAACATTTACTGAGCATTGAAATGAGTTTTTGTTCTTTTTTGCAAATTAAATTACGATAATATCACCAAAGAGATACTACAATTTTCTTAAACGATTCTTAAACATTAGGTGTAAAAACGAAAGAAAAAGAATGTACTTGCATTGAATAATCATTTTTCTGTTAAATCGTTATGATTTATCTACTTAAATTAAATAACGTGATACTACTTCCTTGCTAAAAATTAAATTTTTGAAATGATTTCTGTATTGAGATAACGGGAAAATGCATTCAAATGATTTTACAATAAAACAAGAAATGTAAATGTCTTAATTTTCTTAGTTAATCCTTTATAAAATTCGTATGTTATTGTGAACATTTTCAATGTAAAGTTTAAAATGTTACCTAGATAATAATGCTAACATATAATCGAAAGTACAATATAATTAGAATTTGCCTTATTTATTTTACTATAATTATTAAGAAATAAGTATTACACTATTTTAGTTTACAATACTTTTAGTTGTAGTGTTTTATTTTCCAATGTTATAAAAAAATTAAACTCATGTTGAAAATTTTACAATCTTACCTAGCATAAAATGTTGAAGTCTTGCTTTAGCGATAATAAAGATATCTGAAACTAAACAGAAATTTTAGAAAAGAAAGGTTACGGAAAATCTACTAACTTGAAAGAGGATAGTAACAGAAATAAAAAGTATAACTTATATTTCTGCGTGCGTGAATTTAAAATCAAAATGTAGCTGGAAAACATTGTGAGATATTTTGATCGTCTGAGTAATTTTAAAGTCAGATCAGTAAATGTAAAGATGTGTATGTATTAAGGACGTATCCACAAAGAAAACATGCGTTTCCTTCACTTCAAATGACAGTTTAAAGTATTTTAGTTAAAGTGCAACATTAGAGGATCAACTTCGGAATATAGTTGGACCGGAACATTATTAGTATTATCTACAATAAATGACAGAGCTACATATGGGAGATTTTTGTGTGATTTTACTTTATCTAGTATATTACGCACTGACGATCATGATTTCTATGTAATTTGACAAAACTTCAGCAAAATTGTTCACCACAAATATCACCAAAATATGAGGGTTATGAAGCGAAACTCGCTTCGTCTACGTATACGAGAGATCAAACAAATTATCACAATCATATCTTTCAGAAGTATATACAAAGACAACCAGTAGAAAATCTCCAATACTAATACTCAACAGGCAACTGAATAATCAATGTACACCATAAAAATGGAAAACAAATATTGACAGTGACAATACATTGTATGACGACAGAACATTGCTAGTGTACACTTTCGTCTCTTTCAAAATAAGTATTTTCCATAGTTAGATAAATAAGGTGGCGCAATGCATGACGTATTATTCATGGCATTTTCCATCAGTTCAGTCACTCATTTTAAACTGATGTAAAAAATATACTAAACGCAATCTTTCGATTTCACTTATGACGCTTTCAGACTTAAAAATAGAATTTAGAGTATCATGAAGCTATAATAAACAGAATCCTGCAAATAATATGCAGACAGATTGTAAAGTCTTCACTTCGACCAGAGTAAACAAATGCAGTTATGTATGGTCCAAAGTGAACCCTTAGCTTCATTTTCAGTTTAGTTAAGTCTCTTGTAAAAATCATTTCGTGGGATATAATATAAAATAGATAACTATATATTTTTCAAGCTGATATTTATTCATTGTTAGATAAATAAATATTTTAATCAGATGATGCACCCTTTGTATCTTTTCTCTTTAACTTTTTTTCTTTAACTCAACCACTGATTTCGTTAAAATATATGAGAGAAATTCCCTTTTGTCTTAGGAAAGGTTAATTACCTTAAGCTTTGATCGCGAAAGTTAATGAAGACAACCAAATGCTTAAAAATATGTTTGAAACATTTCATGATTATTATTTTCAGCCACGTGTATGCGTAAATTAAAGCACAGAAATTATTTTATTTAACTAACTGCACATATCATTCACCTTCTGTAAATTCGTTTTCCATCTGTTTCATATTTCATATTTTATAATGAGTAAATATTTCTAACTCAGCTTAAAAGTGTAATATTGAGAATAGAGGTAAGAAACCTGTAGTTTTACTATTATTTTACTTTAAATTAATTCGCTGCAAAATTTTATTCATTTCATTTGATTGCCATTACAGACCTTTTAAAATTTTCTATAAGTATATTGCAATACTATTCCCTTTCGATTTTATATTCTGTATTGCATTCACTTTTGTATTTAATTTGAATAAGCTTTGCATATGAAATAATAATATATTATATCGCCCCTTTTAAATCTTTCCGCAGATCTGGTGTTTCTAAATATATCTTTCTGTAGTTTATATACCTTTCAGTAGCTGATAAAGAGATAAAATAATTTTTTTGGGGGGGGGGGTATAACTGATTTTCAGTGTACGGAAATGTATCATAGCAAGGTTTAAAATACTTCATCTACATCTAGAATAAAATTTAATACTTCATCATTAACTATAAATTTTTGTTCTCTGTTCATTTAGTTTTTTGTCATAAAAAGTGTTGGGGTTTTTTTTTTTTGTGTGTGATTTTGTATTAGACGAATCAGAAGTATACGCATTATAAAAATCCAAATAATTAATTTGGTAGTATTCACTTTCTGAGTATTCGCATGATATAGATAAGAAAAGAACATTTTAACAAACGCATTTATTTACTTTTTATGTAAATAGTATGTTATGTAGTAGTATGTTTTTATAGTAACATAAGCAATATTGATATTTATAGTATTGTTCACTTTTGTATAATTATTATTAAATTGAATCAAATTTTTCTTACGAACTGTATTGAAACCAATACTATTTAAAATGCAATAAATCTATTTGCATATTCATTCGTATTTCTGAATAAACAAACTCAAAGCATATATAAATTTTCATAATTTTATAAAATATAAATTAGACTTATATATTTTATCGTGTGTAATTAATTTGACTATTAAATTTAATTTACAGAATTTTCAGAGTTAGTTAAATTTAAAGAATTTTGACAGTTACTTTAGAATACATTAAAGGATGATATTTATTAAATTAATGTATCATAACAACATATTATGTCAATAATCAACACTTACATATATTTTATAATCCTTAATCAAAAATTGTTTGTCAAGCAGTTTTTCCGAAATTATAATCAAGTCTTTATGAAAATTGCAATTAACTCTTATTAAATATTTTCTTTGGATTTTCTAATGATACATTCTTTATAATTAGAATGAAAATATTTTATATTTTACAAAGGAAATGTTTTTATTTCAAGTAACTTGTTTATTTATTTACTTCATTTGAAAATTATAAATCTCAATATTGCGTTTCGTCTATGATAATCAAGAACAATTCTGGGAACTCTAACTTTTAATTTGTGATTCCTTATGTTACCGTTAATGTAAGGAATACTTAACATAAATACTTATGTTAAGTATATACACAATATTTCAAATCTACACAATATTTAAAATCGTTCCAAAATTTTATAATTCCATTTGCTTTTTGCAGTGTTTGTTCTAAAATTCTGAATAATAATTTAAGAAATTCTAACTGCCAGAAACTTTACTAGAATAACATCTGCTAAGTGTAACTCTAGTCAAAGTGAAACGTCTGCTTTGTTCACAAAATTAACTCGTACAAATTAACCGAAGGAAAACGTTTTCCTACAGTATTCACTTCATGGTGCTCTGACCCATACCATCATTCTTGGATGGATGATAGACCCAATCTCACAGTTCACAGTCCTGGTTTTACCATTGACAATGAAAATTGCTTCTTCAGCTGTAGTAGCCATGTATGTTCCAAAAACTCCTGCGCTAAAAATCGGCCTGTTGCTGTTGCCCCATGTGGCCAGTCGCGGGTCCGCGGGCCGTCCAATGCCTGTTATCATTTCCACTTTGCCATCAGAGAGGTCTACAAAGAGAATATCCTCTTTGGTGGAGGATGTGGCATAGAGGTCATAGCTATGGGTGGTTCGGGAAGGAAAGAATGCTACGTCACTTATTTGGAGAGTTGTTTTGACGTCGAACAAGAAACGCAATCCTGTAAATAACAAAAGAGAATATGATTCAAAATTCAAAATTTTTTGGGGGAGAATTTAGAAATAATCTTTTATTTATAAACTTGGAACTGCGCACTTTCCTTATTGAGATAAATTATGCATTTTATTGTAAGCAACTGATTATTTTTATTGTTTTAAGCATACAATTATAAAATCCGTGGTCTATATTTTTATTACTTTCATATTGCACGAAAGTTTGGTGCTCTCATAGCATAATTTGCAGAGTAATTACGTTCTGAGTTTACAAAATAAGTTTTGTCAAAGAATAAACAACTCGCGAGTGTGTAACATCGTCTAGAGCAAATCAGAGGATAAATACATACTTAGCACTGCTAGTTGTCTGTTCAAAATAGGCACTAACCACAAGTAAGCGCACCGCAACTCTGGAATTGACATCCAGGTACGAGCTTTTCAACCGGAAAAAATGTAATATACGTTTTGGAGCTGGAATTACAGCGCCTCCTGGCACCAGACTTTTCTCCAGTTGATCTTCATTAAAAGATTTAGAGTGCATTCATTCCACTCAACGTGATCTCAAAAGAGTCTTGTATTGTTATTTTTTGTCATTACGTCCTTATTCTGCGAGTGAGTAATTTGCGTGCCTATTACTATCCTTGCATGTGGTAGCTGTTTCTCAGGCTTCCTACCCGGAAACAAACCCTGATTTTTCATCATTCATTATGACCTTGGCAGGCGCCTAACCCACCACTAAACAATTGACAAGGCAGATAGATAGAGATACGTCAACAAGACGAGCCCGTGGGATCGCCCATGCAGAGTCACCACATAATAAGGGCGTAAAATCCGACTGGAAGGGCGGGCGGGGGGAGCTTTGCTGCGTGCGAAAAGGCCGTGTTTCAGTTTTTGTTGCGTTTCTGCTGGCCGCAGAAACAACAGCCGAGTTGCTAGCAGACATGCTGAGGAAGTCTTCGACAGTATACAACCAATAGAAAGGAAAATTATACGACTACTGTAAAATCAATTATACAATGAACATTCTTGAAAAAGGTAATTCTAAAGGTGCACTAACCCGGTTTGAGCTGAAATCTCTTTGAAATGTTACACTAACCTTATAACATTTTAGAGACTTATAACATTTTCTGCATTCTCTGAGAAATCGAGAAGGAGTTTATGATTAGTATGTAAAATCATCTACTGCTTCCGTAGCTAATAATCCAATTTTGAGGACGATAATTTCCGTCCGTGGAGAAGAACTGAAGTGAACTGATATTTTGAAGATTATAGAGCTCGAGAATGAACTGATAAACTGCCTGCTCGCGAATGAACACCAGACCTAGTTGACACCAGACCCTACTGAAGGTTTTTTGGGAATACCTAGAAAGATAAATATTCGCTCCCCTGCTTCCAGAAGTCTCTAAATGAACTCCAACAAGCCCGAGTGACAATATACCTGAATGAAAACTTACAGAATAGAGAGATCAAGCTTGCCTTACGTTATTGATATAGTTATTACATAATACAACTTCGTTTAATTAAATATTGAGGCGTTTCTCTTCCACACATATTTGTTCCTTAAGGATCCCAGATACGTAGATTATCGGGGGAGGGAAGGTAAATTCTTTTCTTCTCAATCATTTAGTCATACTTCCTAAAGATGACTCTTATGCTATTTAATAGTACATGTTATAGCCATTTAACTTATTTATTCCCATTTTTATTACATGCAAAGTAGCTATAAATTTTATATTAGTATTAGCCCTTTCTTCAGTACACTTTTCCGCTGGTTTTACTATAAGGCGATTGCCTGAACAATCGTATCACATATGCTGTTGTTGCTAATGATCACTTGTCTGACCTACAGTCAGTCCAATCCCACGAAATTCCTCGTGGCAAGGAGCGCAAGCTTACGCCTGCCATTGGCAACAGCCTTGAGCACCTTACAGGTTGACAGTGCGATTTAGCTCAGTTCCTCTCGCAATTTTGATGAAAAGCAGCCCAGGGTCGGATCCGAGGGTCTCCCACCCATCTTCCTCTACCACCAACCTCTCAAGAGGACTTTCTACTAGCATTATATTTAGAGTGCCGCTATGCCGCACCTACACTATATATTTACTAATATCATTGCCTTCTCCGGGATTCAAACCGGGCCCTTCGGCACGGCAGTCAGCGACGCTGACCGCTGTACCGGTTGGAGGTCTTATCACATAAGGATACACTTTATCAATTTTAAAGTGAACCGCTGGTTAAACTTAATTAAACTGGAAGCACAATAAAGCATCTGATTATAGAAAATGCTAAATCATTGCAGCAAAATCAATTAAATATGCAATCAAATCAAAGAAATATGATGACAGTCTCACAGCAATCAGATCAGAGTACTCTAAGTGCTACACGAATTTCTTAAATCCTTAAGATGTGGATTAATTATGCTGTTACATTATTGCTTTTTTATGAATTTTATCTTTCTGTGTGCCTTTTACATTTTAAAAAATTCATAAAATGTATTGAAAGCATTAAGTGCACCCGCAGCTTGATGGCGAACCCGTTAACCGCTCCCCGTCCGGGGAACATTGCCGTCTCTCCATCACACCGAGGTGGGCCCACAGAGATTAAATTTCTAATAGACAGCTTAAAAAAAAGAAACAACAAAATTATGAAAATGTTCAATAAAGTACAAAAACAGTTATGAAAATGTTCAATGAAGTTACCATCTTCAGTGATTTCTTGAGCCACAATGACGACACTGTGGTCATTAGCTTTCAAAGTCACTACTCTCCTGGAGTCAGGGGATACACGAGGTTTGCCAAATAAGGTTGTACTGTGGATCAAGACGGTATCAGTCAAGTAGTCCAGGACGATTTGTCCTGTGGGTCTTCCTGTTACAGGCTCTAAGCATTCTAGGATTACCATTCCTCCTGGAAATAGAGCAAAGATTTCATTTTTATCATTTCTTTTGAGAAGCAGAAATAAGAATTAATAATTACTCAACTTTGTAATTATTTATGTCTAAGTATGTGTGAGAGTTTTGAAATATTAATTTGGAGATTGTAATTTCATTTAATGATAATTTTCTTCTCTGTTTCATAAAATATGATTGCCTAAGAAGTTTAAGGCGCTCCTCCAATGGACTGTTTCAGTGAGGAGGCTATTACTTGTGTATGGTGAAGTGTGGTGAACATCCACGTTTAAACATAGGCAATGATGGTATTGTAAAGCCGCACTAATTATCCAGATAACTACACTTCGCAGGTCCCACAAAGGGCTCCTCCAGGCGTTGATGCATTGTCAAGCATTGCTGTGCTTTATGCTGTGTTGCATAGCTCAGTGCCTCTTTTAGAACAGAAAGTTCATCATATTTATGACTTCTTTTCTGAAATGTTTGCTCTTGATAGCATTTTCTATAAAAGGTCTTATTTCACTTTCTGAATTCAGAAGTTTTAGATGATGTTCAGCTGTGAGAGAGCTTCTAAATGTGTAGTTGTTCACGGCTGCCTATTTCTCTAGTTACAGTCCGGTAATCTAATAACCCAGTAATAGTTCAATGAACTTTCGAAATTATTTAATTCCCCAGTTTTTAATGTCTCTATATTGGAGCTTAAATAAAAGTCTGATGTGTACCCCACATGACTTTCTTGCACGGAATATTAAACTATACGCATTTTTTGCTGTATTTCATTTAAACTTTCCTCGAATTTCATTATATATATATTTCTTATTCAATTAATTAAGTTCAAATTTCGCGGCAAGGCAAAAATACATGAAAACTCAAAATATCTTTATTAAAAATTGAAAAATATAAAACACCAAATACAGTTAAAGCAATTAAAAGAAACAATTTTTACAGTTAAAATTAGAGTTTTTACGCAAAAACAAGCAATTCGGCCAGCGGGCAAAAGGGCAGATTTTTTTGGTGCACAAAACTGAAAGCTTACTTTTGGTCTCTCTCGGCAAAAAGACACTGAAGGTACAGAAGCTGACTATTCTGCTAAGTTTCAAATATAAACAAATATGGAAGCTATGGTAAGTCTTAGCCGCACTTGAACAACTTTTAAATTGTTGATAATTCTACATCTATTGCATGCAGATTAACTAAAGGTGTAAAAACTTTACCCGAAGATAAGAACAACATATTAAAGTTTCGAATGTCATTTTCGAAGCAAAAAATGCTCGATTCACCATCATATATAAATAAAAAAAAAAACTGAGCTCACGAAGCCGAGTAACACACACACACACACACACACATATAATATATATATATATATATATATATATATTTACTTTTGCTAAGGTCGATTTAACCAAAAGAGGAGGTGCAGAACTACATGTTATAGCGGTCCTATATACAAAATTTTAACGTCCTGAGGTTACTTGTGTTTTGAGTTATACGAGATATATACATACATAAGTACGTACGTAGACACCTCACGAAAAAAATTTCTTCTGAATCCATTTTGAATGTTTTTTGCAACCTATTTTGGGAAAGCGAGTCCTTTGTTCGGTTCTTACCTACAGATGTCACGCAAAAATATCAACTGTCTTCGATAGCTGTCAAAATGGATAGTTTGGTTGAAATATGATACCTGAAAATTTTTCCGATTACAATACTTCTTTTACTTCGTACAAGGAAGTAAAAATGGCTGATGACATTTCGAAGTGAATTTGATTTGTCACCCATATATATTGATTTCACTCCTACTTTAAGTAGGGAGAATGTAAATAATTAATTTCTTCACTTGTGGTCTTCTAGTGCAGTAGTCACTATATTAACCTATTAATATGTGGAGGCTTGATTTCCCGCCAAGGTATATTGCATTTAATTAGTTCCAGTTCCAAAAATCCTGGTGTCATCTTAACGTGAATCGAATTGAAATAAGAGTTCATCACAGAATAAAAGTCAAACAGGTGACGATAGTTTTATTTTTATTGCTAAATTTCTACAACGTATTTTACTGAATTACAAAAAATATTTCATTTTATTTTTAACATTAAGCAGCCAAAATCTAGATATAATTTTCTTCTTTAATGAAAATTCCTCTAATGATAACTGGTTCGCTTCTGACGTGTTGAATAATTCATTCATCAAACTGACAGAAAAGTCTTGAAAAGCATTTTGAAATAGATAAATATGCTAAAAAGCATTTTAAAAGGAAATATAAGAGTTAAACACGTGTAATAGTACCCTAAATATAACTTCATAAAACAAGAAAGAGGAAATAGAGAAATTTTATGAAGAATATACCGTTTTCAAAACTATCTTATCACAAAAATACATTAAATTAAAACTGTTCTTTTCATGCAGAACAAAAAAAGTATGTCTAAGGTCATACATGCATATACAAGTATTTGAGACAACTTATTTTATTTTACAAAATTTGATATTTCAGTCTATAAGATACGGTAATCATACTGCCAATAGGTAATAGCAAAACAGATATTACAATAATATCACGAGATCTTGAGCATTACAGAATATATCCAGTTCGATGAGACTGGTTTTATTTAAAATTTAGAACTGATCGTATTCGGCATTGTGGAATTTAACTGTTTGCGTCCATCAAATGAAATAAAATATAAACAAAACTTTTATCAGATAGAACGATGGACTCAAAAAACGTTTATTTTTTAATCGCTGTACCCCCCGAAAAGTTGCTTATCGCCTAGCTAAGCAAAATGAAAATTAAATAAATTAATTAATAAAATAAAGTAAAATTGCACCTTCAATTCCCGTATCGAACTCAAAGTTTTGAAAAATGAAATAATTGTGAAATTTTGATGTGTTTTGTCAATTTTTACGGTTTTTAAACTCACTATTATAGAAACGCTAGAGGTCTTTATCTTCAAGTCTCTGATCAAGCAACTACTGCAATCACATCATCTATCCTTCAAGAATATGACTTAATAACTGATTCGGACATTTCTTACATCGTTGATAAAAACAAACGTCTGTGTTTAGATGGAAGAAAAGACAACACGATCTTACTTCATAATGTTTTCGAAGAACTTAAAAAAAGGACCAGTATTCTCTCATGCAAGAACTAAGATCAGAATATATCGATCACTTTCTTCTCCTACATGTCACTGCTAAATGTATAGCTTCTACCATTATTTTCCATTCGAATAAACGCGAGATTTCTGTTGAAGAATATGATTTGATGGAGAGCGATGGAACTGTTGTTAATTCTGGTTTGGAAAATGTTGCTATCTTCCAGATCAAACTGCACATTGGGAGACGACTACAATGGGCTATATGTGTCGTACGTTTCTTACGTCATAGGTTGCAGTTCCGTAACGTATTTCGTCACTTGAATCGTATTAGTACAGGGCGAACGTCTTTCAGTAGACCGATCCGAGAAAAAAACTTACTTAACTAATCAACTTATTTAAGTGTGGTTACGCCATACGCATTAGGCTGGGCCAGAAAAGCACTTTTTTAATTTCCACATCGCTGTTCCCCGAGAAAATTGACTATGCCTAGCTATTCAAAATGAAAAATCATTTTCATTTAAAAATACATGTTCTGTTCTCACATCGTACTCAAGGTTTTTAAAAAGTGAAATCTTCCTGTTTTACGTGAATTTTTTATAATTATTAAACTTAGTACTAACGAAATGCAACCGTTCCTAATATGAAATTTGGGGCACGAGGAACACGGAAAACATTTCAAGCCTGTAACTTAAAACTGTTTATTGTTTGCTCTCCTCCTTGAAAAAAGGTAAAAAAAAAGAATGCAATGTTTTGTAAAAGTATCAATAATTTCTAATTTCTTATTATTTTACCTTTGTATTTTTAATAAACAAACGGTGAATATATTTATGATTTTAAATTTTTTTATTCAAAAGTTTGCCCCTTAATGTTAGTTTTTTGGGAAAATTCTGGCATAGCATATCTTGATTGGAGGGTCGTCCTAATTAAGCTGTCTGTGTCAGAGCCACCACTGTGACAGACTGTCGCACAGCCGGGGTGAGACAAGGGAAACTCTCAAAATCGGACCACTAAATCCTGTTGGAGTTATCTATCCCTTCGGAGCTGAATTTTGGCGTGGTGAAATTTCGAACAATTTTTTCCCTTGAAAAAGTGATCGGGCTTTCAACAATCGTCGTCGTAGCCTTAGTTCTCTGATATGTTTTCTTTCATCCACAACCATTGCAAAGACTAAATTTTCGGAATGAGTAAAAAAAACATTTCTCTGAATTACTGGGTTGATGATTTGCAATAAACTTTTAGTTAGGTATCATGATGTTTTGATGGCTTTAAAAGCTATCTTTGGACCACCTACGAAATTTTTGCTGATATATATTTTGAACCAGAGAGGCATGTAACAATTCAAAATAAAATTTATCAAGTGCCTAGTTTCATCAGTAGGTTATTTTAAGGTCACGTATAGTCTGAAAACTTAGTTTGCTGTCGTCAACAATCTTGAATGTAAAAGTGGACCAGGATCATGAGTTGCTAAATGTTCTAAAATTGTAATTGAATCTATGGTGCAAAAATATCAACTATGTATGATTGGTCCGTGCTCAGCAATTTTCTGTCACTTTGACGAATGGATTGTTTAAGATGTCAAAAGCGACACAGTCAGCAAGTTTTTTTCCGGATAGGTCCACTGAAGGACGTTCACCCTGTACTAATACGATTCAAGTGACGAAATACGTTACGGAACTGCAACCTACGACGTAAGAAACGTACGACACATATAGCCCATTGTAGTCGTCTCCCAATGTGCAGTTTGATCTGGAAGATAGCAACATTTTCCAAACCAGAATTAACAACAGTTCCATCGCTCTCCATCAAATCATATTCTTCAACAGAAATCTCGCGTTTATTCGAATGGGAAATAATGGTAGAAGCTATACATTTAGCATTGACCTATAGGAGAAGAAAATGGTCGATATATTCTGATCCTAGTTTTTGCATGAGAGAATACTATGAGCCTATTAATCGTAAACTCTTTCCTATCCGCTTTTTGCTTTAGTGTTTGTATTGCGTTAAAAAATAAAAAAAAAAATAATTAAAAAAAAAAAAACCCAAAAAAGTATAAAATATAAAAGTACAGAAAAAGCATTAAAATCTAAAAACTTATAAAAAAGATTATGATGTTTAAGTTTTTATTTTCGTATTCCTATCCCTAAACTTTCTCGAGCCTGTGGCTCCCTCTGTTGAGCATCAAGTCAATTACTTATGCAAAATTTTTCCTATTTCTGCTCACTTTTAGTAATTCTGATGTGGAGGTAAATGGTTTTGAACCATAGGCACTCCGAAATTTCAAAATCATTGGCATTAGAGAAAATACTGGTGCATGAGAGAATACAGAAGTGGTGGTCATTTTATTACGTAGGCATCTAACAGATGGGCCACCTTCGCCTCCTATGAAAGGATGGACAACAGTTACAACCATCTTTTCTCCGGGATTCGAACCTGGACTCTTTCGTATCGCAGTCGGCTTCCCTAACCACTATGCCGTCTGGGCGGCTGCCTGAGGTAATGATTTGAATCAGTTAAAAAAATTATTTATTTCAGAACAGTAAGGCATATTTTTAATTACATATTTTACACTGTGTAATAATTTATTTACTAAGTGTTCGTTATACATTTTTAAGGAGTTAAGTTAAAATAATTATACTTATTTGGGTGGAAAGTTTAGCAAAGTTTCTTTCTGAGAAAATTTCTCACCAAACGATGCAAAATCTGCTGATATAGGTGCGCAGTTATAAGGCGTCAGATCCACCGTCTTGAGATATTTCATTCCTTGTAAATCAAGTTTATACATTCCTCTTTGGTTAGTATGCACAACGTAACCGTATTTCCAACCATGGCCTAGATCCTGTGTGGAAGGAAGGAATAATCCACTGACCTGTAATAAAGTTAAAAAAATTATTCAATAGAATGTTTGCACCAATTTAGCATCCGACCTCAATAATAGTTAATGGCAGAAAAAAATCGATACTCTGAATACTTGCATCAATTTTTGTTTCATGATGAATTAATTTCGATATGAGCATTTTCGAAAGTGTTTTTAATTATTTAGCACAATTCCAAATTCTATAAATTCTTGCTAAAACATATGTTACATATCTTTGTTGAAAAATAAAACTCTACACTTGGTTACAATTTACTTTTTAGTATATTATGGTAAAAGCATGTAAATTTAAATAGTTGCATCATGCCTATTTTATTTTCCTAGCCCAAAGGGAAGTTAGCCCAGGGAGCTATTAGTCTCGAAAGGGCATTCTGCCTCGAATCTCTATAAAAGGCTATATCATTTTTCAGATTTCGCCACCTAATATTATCGCCCTGTACTACATTTAAAGAAATTAAATAATGAAGAATCTGCATGAATGTAAAATCTTGCATTGTGAAAAAGCAATGGCACTTAGAATCATGAAATTCTGAATAACATAGTCCTCCACTCGAACATGAGCACCTGGAAGCCCGAATTTAGAATCTGGGATTTGTTTTATTATTTATTTCATATTTTGTAAAACTTTGTCAAATTTTTTATTACAAAAATTCAGTAGTTTCAAAGCGAACAGTAGTAACACTACAAGGAATAAAATACTCCAGCGCGTAGACCGTTTATCAGAAGTTCTAAAGATATGCTGATCTTAGATATTTTTAGTCCGAATGCTCTCGAAACGTGTATGTGTGTGTAACACAGAGTTTTGACAAAAAATCTCTAAAGGGAAGAACCAGAAGATGCGTTTGGTAGACAGTCGGTGTTACCAGGGTATGTGCGATGACGTGTCTCTGCAGTTGTATGATTTTTTAAGCAAAATCTAATCGCTGTGCACTCGAAGAATAGAGAAAAAATTCAGACAGATTTGGAGGAGAATGTAGGTATTTTATTTTCTAAATATATTACGTAATCCTTACTTAACAACTAAAATTTGTATTTAAATTGCTAACGTGTATTTCCTTTTCATGCATTGATAATGTTTACCGACTTACGATAAATATCGTTAATTTACGAATCTTTTCAAAAAGTCGCGAAAAATCACTAACTAGCACCCGATAAGTATATGAGATCTTTTCTGTAAAAAGCTGCCAAATTTCGCCAAGATGGTTGCGTCAATGCGTAAGTACCAAATGTTGAACACTTATGCTTATTTTTATTTTACCAGTCTATCGTAACTTTTTTACGTGCCAGTACTTTGATATAATATCCTTGATATTGTAACTTATATCTTTTTTTTATCAGTTCAAAGGATATGATGTCACTTTCAAAATACATATAAAAACCCACTCGAGAAAGAAAAAAATTACACCCGAATGTATCAGTAGTCAACACGAAATAAAATATCTTTGATTAAGGTTTATAACTAAAATAATAATGCTCTAATACAACAGATAATTTACAAACGATGTTTTCGTGCTCTTAATAGTAGCATAATTCATAATTATTATAGCACTGGGTTATCGAATCGAGGTTTCTGTGAAATCATTTCACCGTTATCTAAAAATGTGAATCCGGACTTTTCATAAAGATTTATTATAGTACAAATTATTTATATCCCAGTATAATTAATTTCTGTGTCTGTATGCAAATACATTATATGTACACTGCGGGGGAAAAATGGGACAGTTCTATATCTTGCGTTCTTCTGGGCCGATTGACGAAATTCAATTTCCCGTTTTACATGTCTCGAAAGCACGACTTAGGATATGTATTAGATTTATATGCAACATTGTTCTAATATAGGTATTTTGACACAAAATCGGACTTTTTCTGAAATAACATACCAATGTTTTTCCATATTTTTTTCTACGATTCAAATTAAACCAAAATACCAAGTTTTGTAAAAATATCACGAGTAGTTTTTAAAAAATTAGCTTTTAAAATTTTAACTCCTCAATGTTAATTGAGTTTGGTGTATATTTACTAATATCTCTCTTTTTTATTAAACTTATCTGATTCTTCCTTTCAAATTTCGGAATTCAGGATCATTCCAAATAAAATTCACCCATTTTGTACGATTTATTTTTTAAATTTGCATTTTAAAATAATTTTTATAAATTTTTCAAAAACAATTTTGAATTATAATCTATAAATGTTTTACTATCATCTTAAGGTAAACATATTTCTAAGCATACCTGCAAAAAATTACAGTTTCTTATTCAAAATGTCCGAAGATATGCGTGAATTTATATATTGGCGCGCTTTGAAATTTGGTATAATTTGTTGAAAGCGCTTTCGAGTCTCGAAACTTTCGAGTTTCGAGACTTCGAGCACTTAAATCGCGCTTTTGAGGCATGTAAAACGAAACTTGAATTTTGTCAATCGGCCGAGTATAGAACGGGAGATATAGAACTGCCCCCCTTTATTTTTGCGCAATGTAGATGTAGCAGTTGTGCATAGTTGCGTTGTCAGCAAAGCCGACTTCACTACCACATGTCTCGGATTTATATTCCAGGAAAAGCAAGGATGTCTTCAACTGCCTGGATTTCTAAGTTATTAAAATTTATCAAACCAAAGTGCTCTTGAAACAGAAAACTATAGAAAAACTGTTATATTCTTGGAGATATTCTCAATCAAAATGGAGAATTGAAATGTTCATCTTTCCGCCACAGATGCCAGAGGTGTCTTTACCAGTAGCAGATTCCTTTTCACCTGTTGAGATGACTATATGCCCACAAACGGAGATAGGTAACAACTGTTCCTTTATAGATGGCAAAAAGTATTATAAATAATAAAATGCTACGGAAATAGGTGTGCAGTGACAATCTATACGTTCCATTCTTTAAAGAAATGATTTGAATGACATTAGGTTTACATATCATAATACTGTATGAAAGAACATTTCTTATCAAAAGATTGAATTTTTGAAGATCATAACTTTGTTTCTCGAAAAATTAGTGCGTTTCAGACTTCTCGGATTTCATGACATATTTTGTGTAAGCAAAAATCCAAAGGACCAAAATGTAGTATATGTTTCACTTTCAGATATATATCACACTGAACTTTACTCTAACTCTTCTCTCTTTACTCTTAACAGATATGGTGAAATTCATATGAATTTTTATAGTTGCAGGTATAATGTAGTCGGCATCATGCTAAATCATAAACGATTGATAGTGCCAGTTGTATGACAATTTTCGAGAACCGTGTAATGGTGTAAATTTGTTCAGGCCATCTAAGAGAAATTGAGTAATGCATCGAACTATTTAGTGGCATCAGACACATTCTAGAAAACACTCACAAGATCAAAGTGTCCATCTACAGGCTCCGGATGCACAGTGTGGTGCTTCTTCTTTTGGCTGGCGTCCCGTATAATTTGGATGGTTTTTGTCCCTTTGTCTTGCACACTTCTCCAGCACAGCACCCATACTTGGTCCAAATTCGGAACATAATGCAGTTCTACTGGGAACTTGTCCGTTACGACCACCTAGAAAATATAAATAGTCAAATTATAAAAAAATACATTCGTCAAAATATCTATTGGAAATAAAAAATGTCAAAATATCTTAACAAAAGGCTCAATACGTTAAACTGTATATTTGACAAAGCAATAAAAATCCAATGTACAAAACCTATAAATTTTTATTATTGCAAATATCGTTTTGAAAATTTAATTTTTATAAATAAATTAAAAAAATAATTACTATCTCAAATACGAATTCTAGTCAGCAATATTGTCCTAATAATCATCATGTAATCTTCATTCCTATTTCCTTACCTTTTAGGATATTTATGTAGATTTTTGCATCAGTCATGCTTGCAGTTGAGTATAATATGAATTTACTTCAACATACAAAATGCACATTTCAAGTCCACGGAATCATTGAAGTAATTATTATACACCATTGACTGTTCGCAATGGTAAAAATTATCTAGAACCTTAAAAAGGAACACAGGTCTCTCGCTACTGTGACTTAAATAACTAATTTAAATTTTTCAATTCTATATGATGATCTAATCATATATTCATTACCAAGGTCTAAATAAAAGCGTCATCAAAGACGTCATTAACAGATAATCATAGCTTAATAGCAATAAATATCAGTAAAAAAACTCTTAAATAATTTTTGCTATCGGAAACTTTCATCTTGTGGGCAGAAATAAAGCTTAACAATTAACCTCAACTGTAAGAAGTAAAGCCTACAGTAACGCTGTTACATTCAAAGCAGTCTTCACTGTATAGAATGTTTCACTTATTTCTGATAATTAACGCTTAGGGTTATTAAGTTTCTAGCATCAAAATTTTCTCGTATATGCATAAAACGCATATTTTAGGTTTATAAAACAAATGTGAAAGAAAAGTCTTTTGTTATTCTTGAGCATTATAAAAAGAAACACAATAGAAGACAAATTTCCACATAGTAGATCTGTAAGATTATTGTTTTAAACTAAGCAATTATTATGATTTCGGTCTTTACGATAACTTCTCCTTTCCCTATTCCTCACTAGAATGCAAATTAGTCAGCATTTAAATAAAGGTTTTTTGATTTTAAGGGAGAATGTATTTCTGGCTTCGTGTGCACGCTGCGTGTTAGTTTCCTGCCAAGTGTAAGTTTCTAACAGTTGTAATTATTTGGCCTCGCTTTCTATCGTTGCCGACATTTTGCTTCTGACACTCCGATAGAGTAGTAGGCACGCTTTTAGTAGTATTTCATTGTGTAGCCCTTGACAACTGTTACTAATGCCCAACGTTTGATTTAAACTTGTTCCATTTAGGTTCATTGCCACAAGATGTGGCTTATATTGTAGCACAAAGCTTGCGTCCGTGTTTTTCATTCTGTTTAAATAAAAAAGGTTATTTTAACCTTCTCACAGTTTTCCCGTTTGTTTAAGGCATAGCGATAATTCACTTCACGTCCGTTAAGGTTTTTGGACTACTTAGCATTATAGCATTACCAGATCAAGTGAAACCCTATCGATCTAAGTGTTTTCTCTTAACCCAGACAAATTCGATCACAGTCTGTGACGGTTCAAGTTACACTTTTCATTATTCTGAAAATAAAATTCATTTTAATGCTAAAAATTATAATCGTTATCATAAAAACCTATTGTTTCCAGGTATGCCTATAATATCTACAATTGGTATAGTTATTTAATAGAGCAAGGAGATATATTAGGTTAGTAAGTAAATTTTTTTAAATGAGTAATAAAACAATGCGTTAGTAGGTCATTTGTTGTAATTACGTCACAATTAATAATAATTACGTCACAAGATAATTAAATATAAGTATTAAATAATGTAGATGAAACTTTAGATTTTATAGTTTTACTGAAGAAGTTTCAAAATCACATTAAGAATACCGGCTGTGTTCTACTTTATCATTTTTTTTTTTTATTTTTTTTAATTTTTTCTCCTTTCTTTCTTTTTTGTTTCTCAGTTTTTTTTTATTTAATCTTTAAATGATCCTTGAAATTTCGCATTTCGCATCTTAGATAAAAAAATGGAGAGGTTAATACGTCATACATCGTTTATCATCATCAGCCTGATCAAACTCGTGTTCTTTCCAGCTCAAGGTACCCGAAAAATTTCTTCAGTTACTAAAGTAGGTTTCTTGGAAGATTCCGACGTTACAATGTCAAATGAAGTTTTAGTTAACGTTCCAAAGTATCATTTTGGGTTAGTTGTGAAATATAGTAGTTCTTAATACGTAGCAAACATTTAAATATGCGATAGTCTGGAGCACTGCATTTCAAAAATTGTACTAGTTTAACACAGTATGATTAAATGCAGAATCAGTTCAATATAGTATGATGGAAATGTAAATTGTTTCACTATGCATAATTTGTAAATGCATTGAAAAACAGGATTTATTAACATTTCAACATGGAACTCCTGTATCAACTTTCAAAAGAATTTCTCCTTCTTTACCGCATGCTTTCGTAATGTAATTGAAAGGAAGTGTAATAGCGAGGTCCAGAGTTCGAATCCCGATGAAAGCATGGCTGTTTCTTTGCTCTCTTTTGCTGTTTTTTGCTCTTTTGCTAAATAAACTTAATGCCTCTACAAGCTGAAAGGTGATAAGAAGAGGTTAACTTTGAAAATCTAAAATATTATCTTAGATTTTTTAAAATACATTTCGAAATTTATTATAAGAAAATGGAACTACATCTTTGTTTTGAAAGACAGAGTTTTGCCTTTTTTGTTAGTCTTTTGAAAAGAGAAAATGGGATAAAGTGAAGAAAGGAAAAGAAAGAATGATTTATTATCCTATAATAAAAAAGGAACGTGTAATCAAAATAAATCAATCCTAATCTGAAAAAAAAAATACGAGCAAAAATCATGTTAAATTTTTAAATGAAATGTCAGGTCAGATAAGTCAGAGCGCAAAGATTTTGAAACTTGGAAATTATAGATTTAGTTTTCTTTCTTTTCTGTAACTGAATTTTGCATTTGAATATATACTTTTGAGTACTATTTTCTATTTGATTTAATTATATTAAAAATAACGTATCCCAGCTGCTGCAGAATCAGTACAAAACTCGTTAAAATTTATTTTTACAAACAAACCTATGCTTACGAATGAAATTAATAGTTTTTTTTTCCTTCCATAGCAGTTCATTGTTGAACTTCTCCTTTAGCTAAAATGTCTAAATTTTTATTCTCACTAATCTATCCAAAGAAAGATTCAAGCGAATTATGACAAATGTATGTATATTAAAAATATCATATTAGGATCAGAATAGTTCCAGGTGACTTATGCAAAAGGAACCGCTAATCACTAATAAAATAGCAATCGATGATTTGTTTTTTGTTAATCAAACATTCCTAACGTAGGAAAAAAAGACAAGGAAGAGCATCAATAAAATAGCATCATTTATTTCTAAAATGTCCAACACTTTTGTTGTGATGCTGGTGATATAAAGTGCACTTGCATTGGAATAGTAAATAAGTATTTACTTATATGTATCAGTTTGAGAATGGTCTCGAAAATACATCAGAAAAGGAGCTTTGGGGACTGCACTTAAGATCATGACAGGGCACCGCGTGACGAGCTGAAATATCTGTGCAGTTCTACAATGAAAGCTAATAATAGTTCTATCATAGTATTCCTGCTCAAATGGTCAGTGTTTTTGATGAAGGCGAATTAAAGAGCAAAATAAATTTCAGCACAGTTTCAGTAAACAGCAGTGTGAGTAAAGTAAGCTTGTGAAGATCTTGTGAAATGTATAAATTGTTTCATAATTGCTTTTCCTTATTCATAAATATCTGAAAACATCTGAATGGTCTTTACTATTATTTTTTCTTTTTCTTATTTATATTACCTATTGAATTCTTAATATTTAAACGTTCTGTTAAGAAAACGGCGTTACTATAATCTGTGTTTATGAAAGTCTACGATAGAAAATTACAGCTTAATGTATTACTCGGATTTTTAACACAATCATAGAGCGAAAATAGAGCCAAGTTAGTAGAATGTTTCATTACCAAGGTATCAGCAACTTTGACTGCTTATTCTTAAAAGGATATACTTACATCTACCACGACCATCTGCACTCTTGAAATGATAAGGATCCGATCTTTATTGGGCTGAGAGGCGTAGACATAGCGGTCAGCTACATTTATGGCCGCTCCCCACGAGCAGTTTAAACCTCTATCCCCACATACATACTCTTGCGTTCCAGGGATAACATCAGTGCTTTGGATCTGATGGTACAGCCGGCAGTTGTCAGGCTCGTATACCGAGATGCCCCAATCGTGGAAAGCGAAGAAACGATGTTCGAGGTGAGGAATGCCTAAAATTAATTAAACGTAATAAAAATCTAAAACTGGTAATAAAATCCTGGGAAAATCCCAGCCTCCTTAAACCAGTCTTATACCAGTCTTATACCAGTCTAATAACCAGTCTTATGCCAGTCTAATAACCAGTCTTATAGCTAATGGTATTAGAATGTCTTATGCCATTACGGTGTAAGATCAGAATTAAAACTATATGAATTTTATTTGGTCACACAGAAATAACACGATTTTAGAAATCTGGATTTCAAAGATTTTTGGATTAAAAGAACTTAATAGGAAAATTTTGTTTCAAAATTGATGTTGAACTCTTATTCTCATAAAAGCAGCAAAATGAAGATAAAATCAAGATAATAAATTACTTCTTGATGGTTGATCCTGAACAACCAACGAACTGATATCCCTTGTTGTTCCAGCGGGATTAGTAGCTACACACATGTAGGCTCCGGTGTCACTGTATGTTATCTTCCCAACAACTAATGCAGTGCTGTTACCTAAAAAGTCATAAATAACTTAAGTGGCTAAGTAAGGACAAAATTTCTTATACATGACAAACTAAAAGAAATAAAAATTAAATTAAACTTCTGAGTAACCTGAAATCCTGGAAATAATCATTATTACACAATAGGCATTAAAATTTGGACAGTTTGCATTTCCTACGGACATTTCATAAGACTTTTGAGACTTTACAATATACTCTTCGGTGTACAAAGCTCAAGTACGTCGACAATAGTTTTTCTAGGATAATCCATTTGTCAGTAATGTATGTCCATTAACACTATTATTTGCATTCCAAGAAGATTTAGAAAATTCAGATTGGAATTTAAGAGAATCTTTATCAATAATAAAGAAGTGGTTACATACTTACGGAAAGGAACACAAATTTTAATAGGTAGATTCTTCAGGCTTATTTATTGGTAAATTATATTCAGTACTTTTAAAACACTGCTTATATATTGGTACAACACTGCTTATAACTGTGTACACTGTAACACTGCTTATACACTCATGTCCATAAATTAAGGATAATGCAAAATCAGGTAAAGGAAGAGTTAGGAGCAAAACAAATTTGACTTATTTGTAAAGCTTATTTATTAAACAAAAAGGTAAAGAGCAATAAAAGATGCTATATGTTTCATATTATTAAAAAAATTAGCAATTTTTTCTCCCTGGAGCAAATTACAAAAAAAAACCTATTTACAAAAAACCAATATTACATGGTTGGTATGATTGTTAATACATTGTATGTCTCCCAGACGATGCAATACAGTCCGTACAACGCCTAGGCATGCTGAGTATCAAATTATCGATCTGATCTTGGGATATTAACACCACTCCAAAAGTAATGCTGTCCAAAGTTCCGGTAGACTTGTAGGATGAGGTTGACGGGCTGCAACTCGTCGGCCAAGCATGTCCCACACGTGCTCTACTGGATTCAAGTCCGGTGAGAATGCTAACCAGTCCATACGTGTGATATCCTCCGATTGAAGACATTCGCTTACGATGTTTGGACGGTGAGGACGGGCGTTGTCATCCATAAACACAAACTGTGCGCCCGAAACAAACGTACATTATGTTCCAGAATGACGTTCCGATAGATTTGGCTTGTCATGGTTCCAATTTGAACATGCGGGTCAGTTCTGGAACACAGAATTCCACCCCAAACCAGCACTCCTGCACCACCGTAACGGTGTCTTTCAATGATGTTTTCTTGGTGGGTGGTAGCTGGGTACCTGGAGCTCTCCATATGAAAGTCCGACGAGAATCAGACTGCAAGCTAAACCTGGACTCGTCGGAAAACATCACGCAAGCCCACTTGTTGCGGTGTCCACAATGCATGCTCTCTACTCCAGGCTAACCGCAAGCGACAGTGAGTTGCAGTAAGTGGAACGCATCTGACAGGTCTACGAGCATATAGACCAATCTGCCCTAAGCGTCTGTACACGGTCTACTTTGAAATTGTCGTACCAGTGGCTGAAGAGAGCTGACGAGACAGGTCTGAGGCTGTGCTCTGTCTGTTTCGTTTGGCAGTAACTGCCAAATACCGGTAATCATTCGGCGTTGTAATTCTGAGGCGACCTGTGCTGTAACGTCTACTCACATTACCATCTTCTTGGAATCGTTGCCGAAGCCTGGAGATGAAACTCTGGGCAATTCCAAGTTCGTCTGATACTTCCAGTTGGGTGCGTCCACATTCCAGACGGCCGATAATTCTACCACGTAAAAAATCATCCAAATGCGTCCTTTGTGTCATAACTATTCGGATATTGCACTGAAATGCTTATAAAGCGCCTGCGAACAATTTTACGTCTTTGAATGTATTCCTTATATATCACTCTTTTACACTCTCGTCATTGTAACGTACCATCGGTGTCATCTGGTTACTTCATGAAATTTGCATATGATTCTTGAAGATATATGTAGTGATTTTACAGGTGATATATTTATTTTAGAGTTCGATTTCCGCGTGACTCCGAATTATCCTTGATTTATGGACATGAGTGTATATTAGTTCAGCTTATATATGTTGAATTATAATTCATTAAATCAAGCATACTCTGATTAGTATACATATACACGTTCCATATTCGAAAATTACAGCAGTGATCTCCAAAATGAAAGAAACGAGACAAAGGAGTATATTATAAAAAGCTCCTTATTTTACGATGTTATTTTTTACCACTTTTAAAACGCTAAGTATAAAAAATGAATTCTTGAGAGAGACATATTTTTTAACGTAGAAGGAAAAACATTGAAAAAGGCATAGCTGTTTAAGGTACCAATAATTGTGTATTTTCCTGATCCCATTTTCAGTTCTTCATCGTTTTTGAGCCAGTACACTCTTGGTTGCGGAACCCCAATGACATGGCATTCCATCTCCGCTAATTCTCCCGGAGCCCTTGATTGAAGCTTAGGGACAACGTGGACTTCCGGAAGTGCTGGAAACATAAAGTACAATAATTTTAGTCATAATAAATTCTTAATACCACTCAAAGATAGCAACCTAATAATTAGTGTAACTTGTTACATATAAGAAGTTTTAGAAATTCATCATGCTTAATTGCTGATGCACATTACAACCTTCTAAATTTCTGTTTCGAAAATAAATTTTAAAATTACTGAATTTATTTGTATATCTTCTGGAGAGATAAGAGGTAGGTGAAAACGGTCATCTAAACGAAAGAATAGAAATAAATAAATTTGCAAACAATCTTAGGATACAAACAGTGAGATAAGCGGCTGTACAAGTTTCATGAGAAAATTCGTGCTTTTCTTCTGGAAGATCAGCTGCCAAAAGACTGAGTGCGGTTTGCTTCATGAAAGAAACTTAACCAAGCATCTTATCGATTACAAGATGATTTGGAAATACGATAGCAAGGCTAAAGAAGAAAATAAAAATTTTAAGACAAAAGTATAACAGCTGAGTTATGGAACTACACTGTATTAAAGCAACATTTCTTTCACAGTTACAAGCCAAATTCACAAGGAATATATTTTGCCGTTATTATTGTCATTATTTATGTTGTTTGCTTTAGAAATGCCTATTATGTTTTCATTAACGATGAAATGAATAGCATACATTGCATGCTGTGTCTGTTTTTTACAAAATATCCACGGCTTAATTTGATCGCGTTTATTCACAACTATTTTGATAACATTAGCCAAAAGAAAGCATTAAGCTTTAAAAATATCTCCCAAAATGACAGTTGAACTTAGTTAATTTAATACAAATGTGACTAGAAACATATATGTAGTTAGTTTGACAGCATTTTCATTAGGAAAATGCATTATAAGACGGTTTATAAATATATGAACCGTTTCATAATATTTTGATAACTATTTGACCAAAGTTGTACCCTAATTTTAATTCTCGGAAGGCGTTTTTAATAGCAGTATTTATGCTTGGAATAATTTCAGAAAGCTGGTGGCAGATATTCTGTCATCTTCTTCTATCTGAAGAAGAGAGACCTATGTCTGATTGTTCTCGAAATCAATTATTTAGACTTATTAAAAGTCTACGGCAAGTTAAACCAAAAATTACTTCCTTGCCTAATTTTAAATGGTTGTTTAAAATAAATTTAAATGAAATTAAAACACTTTGATGATAAAATATTTTAGCCATTTCGCAATTTTTAAAGTTTATTTTGACCTTACTTGCATTTTCCGTAGTTTCGTATGCAAACTGACGGGCCACTGGTAATTTGATAACAGTATTCGCATGGTACCATTCATTGCGATCACACTAAGCGATATCTATTGTACTTCAAGACACCGATATTTTTTGAACGATGCTTTCATTAGCTTGCACCAAGCACCATACCAATGTACTGATAATTATAAATATCAATACTCAAAATTAGGAGTTAACAGATTAATATGCAAGTAAATCATAGCACATACAAAGAAAATTTGATGAAGTTTAGTGAGCGTATGAATGAAACTTCATATATCAGAAGTAGAATATTTTTATTATAACCAGTCATAGCTCGAAATATGTGAATCAAGAGCGCCAGAAAATCAAAAATCCTATTAAAAGGAAAAAAATATTTTAGGCTTCTCGCAGCTTTCCTGCAATATTTCTGTATTTATTTCTGTGGTTAGTGGATTTGACAATGTCAACATGCAACTGTGCTTGTAATGCGCAGAGACATTTGTAACACGAGGGCAGCTGGTACCATATTTTTTATATTTAGACTAAAAATCACCAATTCGTGGTCCACATACTGGCTCATGATTTAACTTTCGGTGACCAACGATTGGACTAAGGTAATTTATTATTATTTCCTACAAATTTTATAATGTGTGTATATTTTCTTACTTTATCTTAAACTGACTTTTACAAAAAATATCTTAAACTTTAATTATAAAAACTTAATTCTGGATTTAATTATCAGCAAAATCATTTGAAATTGCTTTTGGAGAACTCGTTTTTCTCATGAATGTCCACAGATGGTTTGCATTATATTTTATATCAAAAATTATTTAAATAATAATCCTCGACATGTTCAAAGTCCACGCAAATGAAGAAAAGGGATTGCTGCGTAGATCAACAGAGCGTATAAAGAAGAAAAGCCTACGTGCATTTTCTGCAAAGAAAATCACGTTAGTTGTTACAAAGAATGTTCATTTTATAAAAATCAATTTGAACAGAAACCCGCCCCGAGAAAGACAGCTAAATTCCAGAAGGTACCTGAGGACTTCCCGCATCTCCCAAATGCAGAAACTGATGAAGATAAGAAAGCCCGTAAGCAGCTATTTAGCGAAAAGTAAAGTAAAGTAAAGAAGAAATTCTCCGAAATCCCAAAAGAAGTTGATAAAGCCATGTCATGGCTAAAAGACTCCCAAGATTAGAAATTTCCTGAGTAATATTGTTGGACTTTTGGATAGTATCCGCAAGGCGAAAACCCCAAAACCCCATCAGAAAAGCTCTGCGCAGGCTTTCGAGCAGCAATGTATTTTATGAAGTTTGCCGAAGAGAATTAATTCACTTTTCTACAATCAACTTAAGAAATGCTCATCTTTTCATCGCTGTACCTGCAACTCAAGCAGTATCAACTAGGGTCAGGTTCCGGGAGGGTGACCTCCCACGTGACCAGCCTGAACATATCAGCGTGCCTTGAGGTCACGGCCTTGCTCACTTCCACCAGCGTAGCCTCCTGAATCACCAGTTTCTGATCCCGGCTTTCTACCTCCTCAGCTTCAGTTTTCATCTGACTACCGTGACCGCCAACAGAGGGCGGCACATCAGCTAACTCTTCTTTTCTCTTTTCAGCTTTCTTATGATGTTTTCCTGCTGCAAGACCCAACTGTCATGTTCCTTTGGGATTTCTCTCAAGATACAGGGAAGTACTGTTTAATTTAGTATAAACCCTGTAAAAACTAACTTAGTATCTCAACACAGCGAGAGCTTCGGAGCGCGAGACAGAGACCTACGATAGAACCAGCAAGCGGAAAAAATTTTTGTGCTATTGTCCTAAATGCAAAGGAACATGGAATTGCTGTCCAGGGCGGAGAGCGAGAGCTTCTTAGGGTAGACGGAGACCTACTACGTTTGAAAACCTCCCTCTGTGAAGGATGGAGTGCTTGAATCAAATTGTTGTCTTTTCTGAAATAAGAATGGCCATTCGGAACGAGAAGTACGGGAACCTGCCGGAAGGAAGCGGCAGGACGGAGGACAGCCTGACTTCCGACACAGTTGCCTCCATTTAATTTCATCACTCACCTTTCTTTGCTTTTTATAGCTATCCTTCCTGTCTTAAATATGTATGCCGCTGACGACCTGACAGTTGTAACAAGAATATCGATGTTCAGATTTTATATGAGGGGGGGGCCTTTCCTCGAATTTGTGAAATTTAAATAATTTTAAAGGTATGTTTTTCCATATTATTTCTTCGGATAATATTGTTCACCCAATTGCCTAAAATGTACTTGTATTTCAATCATGTTACTAACAATAAACTTAATATGGTATACATTTACAAACTTCTCTGTTTTAATTTTAATTAACTTTAAGACATCGGACCATATTATCTAATTTACTGGGTTCAGTTTGCTCTCACAACGCAATAATTTTAGTTGGTATGATTGTATTACCTTTATTTGTGTACTTTTATTTGTAGTTTCCATATCTTTAAAAATTTGATATATGTCACTTTTATATTACTCCGTAGTGATGCAAAACTCATAAAGTAACTACTGGTTTGATTTAATGTGATTCAATAAAACATAAGCCATGACTGCTTATTTAACTTACTTTGAACATGTAACACATGTGTCTGTGTAATGTCTTTATTCCTTTGAGCGTGGCATGTATAATTTCCTGCGTGCACCAGTTGTACATTCGTCAAATATAAGGATCCATCCACAAATACTTGGGAAACCTGCAAATCAAGATATATAAAAAATGAACATGGAACTTTTAATTTTTTAAATATAAAATATAGTTACATTTGGGAATTCGGCCTTTTATGATACTTAGTTCTCCGTACAGTTTATTATTATCTGTGTATAATCAAATTATCTTGCATCGTGCCTTACATTGCAATGAATAATTACATTAATCTACAATTAGTAGCTTGCTGAAAAAGAATATTACACGAGGAAAAAAATCTCATGTGGATACCACATGATTTCTTTGTACGCCTGTTAAATTATACACATTTTTTGCTGCATTTAATTTAAATTTAATTTATCGAATTCTTCTAACGTAATTACTCTATCTCTCAAGGCAAGTTGAAAACTAAATAAAAAATGTCAGATTTTGAAATCAAAAACCCCAGCCACTTTTTGTCGTGCAAGATTCAAACTTCTTATATTTGCATTTTTTCATAACTCGTACAAAACATTCCCAAGTATAAGTATACGAACCAGAAGATTGCATTGAAAATTTTATTTCGTTATTTGATAAAATTTGAAATTGCAACATGACTATTTTTGTCATTTAAAATAATTCTGTAATTAGAATTAAATGTCTACGACGAATGTTTACTAAAATAAAGGCGGGGTTAGGACTTTTTAAGTCTGGTAAGGGGGGTTATATATTTTTATGTTCATAGCTTATGATTTAACTCTAGCAAAATTACTAATTTTATCCTTATTTGGAAAAAAGGCATCTACGGTCAATGACAATAGCTACCTTTTCAGTACTTTTAATTTCACTTTTTAATTTTACTTTTTAGAATTTTTACAGTTCAAAATATTATTTATTTGCAGTTTTTTTAATTTTTTACTACAATAGAAATCTAAATAACTTATACTTAAAATACGGACTAAAACGTATTGCAATTATTCATCGCTTTACTTAAATTTCTGTTCCTTGAAGATGAGATATAAAACAAAACATTTTCGAATATATATATATACTTTTGGAATTGCCGATTCAATAAAAATGAGAGGTGCTCAACTAGTTGTTATAGCAGTGCGATATACAAAATTTCAACATTGTACGGCTAATTCTTTCTTGAGTTTTGCGAAACATATCTATCTATATATATAGTTTAATTCCTAAACAGTATTGATTAATTGATTATATTATCTCCTAAGTTTAATTAAAGTAGAATTATTTTAAAAGTGTGAATCCATACTGGTAAGTTATATTTTGAAAGATGTTTTGAAGTAATTTGAAAGCAAAATGTATGAGTTAAACTAGCAAGATATAAAAGTAAGGAGGCTGCTAACCTTCAATACAGTAAAGCTTTTGTATAAGAACTTTAAAACTTAAAAAAGAATGGAGATAATATATAAAGTGGGTACATTAGGTAAGAGATAAATAGCGCTAATAGCTGCTATTTAGCATATCAAATGTTGTACGATCTTAAATCCATTTAGTGCGAATACAAGTTATTACTACTTGCGCAATTGCTTCAAAGTTAGTTAATAATAATTTATTTCCTAAACATCTTTCAAAATATAACTTACCAGTATGGATTCATACTTTTAAAATAATTCTACTTTAATTAAACTTAGGAGATAATATAATCAATTAATCAATACTGTTTAGGAAATAAATTATTATTAACTAACTTTGCAGGAATTGCGCAAGTAGTAATAACTTGTATTCGCACTAAATGGATTTAAGATCATACAACATATCTATCTATCTATATCTATCAGGCGAGCTTTCTACGATTTTTATTTTTTATCTATATATATATATATATAAATCCATTTTACAAGTTTCGGACTCCATTCAGTTCGTACGTACAGACATCACACAAAAATAGACAAATTGATTTGGAAGAGTCAAAATGGACCTTTTTTTGTGCAAGGAAGAAATAAGATGGGCAATCAGAAATTTGAATAAGGCGTTTGCTTGCTTTCGAGCTCTGATAGCATTATTTCCAGCTCTATTTATCATAACAAAATCTTCCGTTGTTCTAATTTTATTGGTAAATAGGTCTTAAAAGTCAAGAGAAAACAATTTTACAAACTTTTTAAAAGAGGTATTTTTGACTTCAGTATTACTACTAATTTTAATTTGTGTAGGACTGAGTTGCTCGAATAAAACTGAGCATATAGAGGAAAACAAAACAAAGCTAAGGTAAAAAATTATTTATTTTACTTTTTTAATACCTAAATTTTCCTAAATTTTAATGTCTAATGATAATATACACAGAAATATTTACTAAATTGAGTTTAAAAAAAGCATTTTTTTTTTCACTTTTTTTATTATTTCAAGTCAGTCAGATTAAACATGACGATTTTACTGATAGTAGCGGTCCCAACTAATTATGTTTCTCTTCTTACACAAAGAGTTTTAACAAAAAACTGCAACACTTAGGAAGTGAAAGAAAATGAACACTGAAGAGGGTGTAAAATTTAAAATGCTATCAAACTTTTTCCTGTTCCTTGAGTATTTTGCTATTATAAACTGAAATAAACGTTAAAAGACTACTTATAGAATTATCGCTAAGTCTTAAGGTTCGACAAGGTCAGGAGAAGGGTGTAAAGAACCCTTTATTAAATAACTTTCATAGACGGCACCAACTTGTGCTTAGAAAAGCCAACACTGTGGGCTTAACTCAAAACATAACGACTAACTTAAAATTAAATAAAGTTAAATTTAGCCTAACGGTATCACAGGTTAATTACCGCGCAGGCTGACTCTAAAGTCGGCATAAATAAGCCTGTTGGCAAAAAGCATTTAACGCCACAGAAATTGAATCACTAGGAAATTAAGGATAGCAACGTAGCCTTCAGTCAGGTAGAATATACTCTGGATTCCCATTACAAAACATTCCTTTAAATAATAACTTCTTTCTACTTCATTTGAATACACGCAATGCAGATTATTTATATTTTGTCAAGAAAGTGTGAGTTGAAAGCAAGAGTGACAGTAAAATTACTTCAGCATAAAATAACTGTTAAGTAAATTAAATAAAGTTCCACAAATTATTAATAGGTAATTTTATCGATTATGGGATCCCAAGTTCCTTTAATTCTTAATGCATATTTCAGTTTAAATAAAATATGAATTAATTTTTATTTCATTCATAACTATGTGCCTTTACACCATTCGCCATTTACGTGCTCTATCAAAATTCTCTCTCCGAAGTACTTTTGGACACTGATCACCAGTTCCTCTCATAATTACCGATTTATAATGCGTAAGGCAACCTCACCTTTATTTCCTCGTCATTGAGCACAGAGAGGTCCATATCATTTCTTCTCCAAATAATAGGTGGAGGAGGTGTTCCAGTCACATCGCATTTAACTTCTACATTATCTCCTACTCGTGCTGTAACGTGATTGACTTCCAGAGCCTTGTCTAAGGATACGACGGATACACCTGTGCAGATGAAATACTTTCTTCAGTTTAAGCTACTAAACTAGAATATTTCATGAAGAATGTCAATGCTTTACGAAAAACATATAACGTAAACATATGTTTTTAATTATGGTGAATACTTTATATTAACGAACTTTATTTGGAATCAAACGTAAAATGTTCATAATTTAATCTGAAAATGTAAAATTAAAATCTCTTTTATATCACACGTAACATAATTGCAGTTACTAGCATATTAAGAATTCTGATTCTAAATGTATTTTAATTTTTAGTTAATTAGTATGAAGGCTTATTCAAAATTATTATTATCAGTGGAAAACCGGACTTTTTTGTTTATAGAGCATTTATCATAAAATAGTATTGCTGCATAGAGTATTTATCTATTTTTGTGCGAGAAAAATGACATTATCAATGGGCAAAATAAAAATAGTCTCCATTTATTGCAAGTAAAGAAGAAATAAATTTTATATGCCCAAATGTAGCTGCGCAACTCTTTATAAGGCTCTGCCTAGCCATAAATTGAAGCAATATATTTAGACACATTTCCTTACATTTATCTGAAAATTGTATGATTCTGGAGGCTGATAAAACATCCATAAATGGTTTAATCAACCTAAAGGAACAATGTATCAGGCACGTTTTGAGGGGAAAAAATAAGAGGTTATTTTAGTTCTGGTTTTATTATTTTCAATTAAAATATCAAATTAATCTCATATTTGAATATCAGTTAATACATTTTTATCATCCGTAATAAACCTAAGTTTAATTTTGAATTTTATTCTTAGTAAATTTTTGTCGAAATTTATGAAATGATAGAGGTAAATCTTTTTAATTATTAACAGAGATTTTTGCATAAAATCTAAAAATATATTAATTTGCTATTAATACGTTAAATTGGCGCAACAGTAAGTAATGATAAGAAATGGGCGATAACATAAATCTTAACGGAACTTACCAAAACATAAAATTGCACATTATCAAATGAAATAACTATCAAAAAGTTTTAATAAAGTAATTAACAACCAAAGTTTTATTTAGTTAGAAAAAACCCTGAAAACTTAACATTGAGAAAAGAAAAAAAAAGTTTTATTAGGAAAGAAAATACCTTTAACTTTAGAATAAGCTTTAAACTTAAAATAACAGAATTTCATTTATTACATTTGTAAATATTATATATATAGTATATACACAATGGCCACAAAAGTCCTTATCCAGCCTCTGTTTTCGCAATCGTTAGTCACGGACATATATTTCTAGTCACAGAATTATAATAAACTAATCTAACTTTATTTAACTTTTTTATACATTTTATACGCTTCCCTTTTTTATACTTTACTTATGTTTATGAATATGTTATACTCATTGCAGAAATAAAATACAAAACGTGTCACTTCCATACGACAAAAAATAACCCAAATATTTCATTTCAAAGTCGAATATCATATTGAGGGGTCGTACACAAATTGAAGAGCATTTGTACGTAGCTAAAAATAAAATATGAGTTTAGAAAATGGTTTCTAACGTTAACAGATTAAATGAAATGTATTTCTATGAACTTCAGCTGGAAAGTATTTCCAATGTAATGTTTTCAAAAACGAGATCTCATTCAGAGATTCTTATAAAATTCGCACTCTGGGAAACGCTGACAGATTTCAGTATTGGAAAATAGCTAACTCTTAACATTATTTGCATAAATTAAAATATTTCTAGTTTAATGATTTTTTTTCATAATTCTAAAGTAGCAAAAGTGCATTCTAAAGTATGTTATTAGTAATATATATGTTATTAGTGATATATATGTTATTAGTAATATATATGTTAGTAGTGATATATATGTTATTAGTGATATATATGTTATTAGTAATATATATGTTATTAGTAATAACTAATAACATATAATTAGAGTTCGAAAACTTGAAATTCGAATAAAATATTCGAAATAAATTCGTTGCGGGAAAATTCATTTAACATATCAGTTATAACAAATTATAAATCATAGAATGTTACACACTAGTAAATAATAAAACAATTTCAATGACTGTCATTTAAAGGGGAAAAATCAACCTCGAATTATTTTTATTTATTTATCTACCAGTCATTCATAGCAATTAAAAAAGATGCCAAAAATCACAAATTTTGAAATCAAATAACTTAATCAATTTCAAAAGTAAGGAACTCAAACATTCTGTATCATATTTTTTATAACAAGTATAAAAAGTTCCTAAATGTAAGTATACGAACCCGTAAAATCTCATGAAAAATTATATTTCGTAACTTTTTCGAGATTGATATTTTAATTGGAAATCGCAAAAGCATGAATATTTGCATCATTTAAAACATTTTTATATATCTACCGCGAACTGCTGCGAAATTGTAGGCCAGGTAAAGACTTTTGTAGACGCGGTGTATTTACACTAAGATCTGAAATTTTTCATCATCTTGCGCTGCTACACACGATGAAAAAGGTTCTAAATTCTTTTTTTAGTGATGGCTGAAGCAAAATTATCTTACGTTGATTTTGAAATCATGTAAACTCTAAGTGATCAAAGGTAATAAATTTTCCCTAATATTATCAATTTAACTGTGCGCATACTGTGAAATATGTGCGTTAGAATAACAATTTCAATACTCACATGTCACCAGTGATTAGAGGACCAGTGATTATTGTATGGACATTTAAATTAAAATAAAAATGCACACATGATAATATTATACACTATAAATCAAAAACACAGCTACAATAAATACAGAAACTGACAACGACAGACATTTGAACAAAAGGCTGCATGCAAATTTATTTTTAGGATCATTTTGTCAGAGTTGCCATGCCAAAGGAATATTCAAAACAAAAACAAGAGCATACCATTTGAAATACAAGAAGCTTTTGGTCTAAAATGAAATGCATCAATTTTTAAATTTTTGAACAAAATAAATGCAAAAGTAACTGATTTGAGGGTATCAATTTGCTAAGTTAAAGAATAAATAAATACTATATTAGATTATTTATTGCTTATCGTATAATAGAGTGTTTAAAAAAACTTGAATTCACCTTATCAAGGATAATGATTATTAACTGGTGTGGGGATCCATATTATCTGCCAAACAGTATTCGTATGTTGAGTATGTTGCTGCATTCTGAAAGGTATTTTCCCCGTAATGTAATATTTTAATCACTACGCTATATTATTCGTAATATATATTATTCGTAAATTATACTAAGCTGTCCGAATGAATTGCTTAGGCCGATTTCAAGTCCAAAAGCTTTTATACTATGCTCCAATACCTAGCTTACAAATCTAGTAGTAGTTAAAGTTTGTATCACAGATATTCCAGCTGGACCAATGGCCAAAAGATCAATATATTTCCTGTCTGTCGTTTAAATCTAACCAGCAGTACATATACAGTAGGAGCCGCTTAATGAGATTACTTTTGTCCATGGCTATTTTGGTTAGATTAATCAAATGATAACATTAAACGTTGAGAAAAATTATCCTTCAGAACAGCAATGAAATTTAACTATTTTAATAAAACTACAAGAAACGTATAAATAATTATTTTCACAGAAATTTTACTCGAAAAATTTAAATAAAACTGTTCATCAAGGTTCATAAATTCTTTACGCAATAATACATTAATGAACTGTTCATGACATGCCTTCAAATTACTTGATCAAGTGCCCTACCCTGATCTTAACGATCAGAGGACATCCATCCTTTACTTTCCTTCCTTTCCTTTGGAAGAGAATATGCAAATGTAAAATTTAAAATTAGTTTTAAAAAGCTTCTTTAGTTTGGGGTAGGTGTTTTGGAGAGAATTTGTTTTATTTTTTTAAGGATCAGGAGGAAAAGTTTCTGCAGAAAGTTTTTTGCTCCTGAAAAAGAGGGACATCTATCCGACCATCCTCAAAATCGATAGATTTATTCAAAATCTAAAGCAAACTATGGTTGCTTTTTTGCCTAATTTTAAATGGTTGATTAAAATCGAAAACAACCTTTTGGCCACATTTTTCCGACACTTGGCAATTTTTATAATCTATCTCGACGTTCTCTGGCGACATTACTTCATTTAAAAAGTTATTCGGTAATGCTTTAATAATATTAAACGAAATGTTGATGCCAATAAGTAATGTATTTTACATGTTTTCGTGTACAAACGGGAGGGACTTCGGCTATTCGATAACGATATCCGCATGATCACATTCAGGGACATCTTTTGTAGCGTGAACATCGCCCTGATTTGTTTGCTGGAAACGCGTCTAGAGTTGATCGATATAGAGTTGATGGAGTGAAGCTGTCCTTGTATAACGAATAAAGCTATTTCTAGCAGGTGGAACGTAAAGTCATTAACAGGATATTATTTGTACAAAAAATGTTGTAGCTCTTTTGAAATTTCATTTATCTTTGTCGAAGATAGCCTTTGCTTGATTATGGTGTGGTGTATTTAATTATGGCAAAGCACACTAGGGCTATCTGCCTAAGGGGAGGGATCCTTTCGTGGAGGACTTTCTAAGGGAACTGGCTCGTATACACGTTACACATGGGGAAAACCACGAAAACGCCCATGCAGCCAGCCCGTTCGCGGGATTCGAACCTCGGATCGAACTACCAGTGTTCAGCGACTTTACCGCTCGGCCGCTGGTGGGCCCCCTTTGCTTGATTATCCCATGCCGATTAGCTTCAAAACGATGACCAGCTTGAAAGCAAATGAATAGAAGACAGTTCAGTTTGTCCATTCCTTCGACCTAAATACCCCAGAATATGCACGGTTTTAGGCTCTTGAAAGATATCAGTGCAGACTGTATATGGCCATCGAATGCTAACTGCTGTGTAGAAACAAGATTAATGAAGCCTTCCACAAAATGCTCTGGTTAATCTTGTTAAAGTTCATGTGGTATCAATCATGTAAAATCATGTGATATCAATCATTATAAGCTAGGGATGAACACGTAATATATTAAAGTTTTCCTTTGGTCATCATTTCCCATTTTGTCCTCCTCTGTTTCTTTTCTGCTTGTGAATAAAATATGGTTCTTGTATTTTTTATTGAATTCGTTTTTGTTTCTATTAGAAAGAAACATCTGCTACATAATATGTTTACGTTTCTGTTAAACGTTCTTTCTTTAAAATGCAATATGAATATTTAAACATGATTGCTCCTTTTCTGAAATAAAATATTTCTATTGAAAATGCATTTAAGCCTTTAATATTTGGATATCAATGTATAGCATATCTCTATAATTACCTAATAATTAATATAGCTTTATTATTTCGCTAGTAACTATCATTTAGCTAATGATTTTTAGACCAAATAAAAAACATATCAACATTAAAATATTCAATGCCTTTTGAAATAACTTTTCGGAACAGATATCATGAAGTCAAAATTCATAATGCATGAAACATGAACCTATTTAAAGTCAATGTTTTATACAAAATACATAATTCCCATAAAATATGAAAGATAATCAAAAAAGTATCTGCCATTGATAGCAAACTAGAAGATTTATAATAATTTAGAATTAATATATTTAATTTTTCTCTGTTTGAAAGTTCTTAAGTGCTTGTTTAATTATCCAGGAACGTTAATTACGGGAGATTTTAAAGGTACAGAACTTAGTTTAATAGGCTAATTTAGAACTGAATGAAATTTATTAATCTAGAAATAATTCTATTAAGCACGTACACTCTTTGCGTCATCAAAGAGCTAATCGTTCTGTGGTGGTAGATTAACCTCGAATACTTTTCAGTAATTAATTAGTCGATTAACCAGAGTAATTTACTCTTGCATTATATTAAGTAAGACAGCGTTTGGTTAGATTATGTACTGATAGTCTGATAAAAGCCACTGTATAAATATTAGTTTTTGTACCAACAATGGCGTTTAAACAGATAGAAAAATATTTAATTCAGAATTTCTTTATACGTGCAATAAAAAATCTGTTGGACACATTTTCGTGTCTGGCTAAAGGAATACACTGTAGCCTCTCGGTATATGTCATTAATCCGCTCCAGATCATTGGACACGTACCAGACTGGACGTCTATCAAACGAACGTTTTCAATAAAAAATAAAGGGAAAATTAATTTGTTCATGCAAAATCCTATTGTTGTTATTCAAAAACTATTTAAAATTATCTGAACTAGAATATACAAACTGACGTCGCAGCATAAATTCACAAAAGTAAGAATAAAAACTATCATCCGTAGTGCCGGACTATCGGTGGCATTTATTTCGAAAATCCCTTTTTATTACACCCTACATACCTTCGACAATGCTTATATGAGCTCCGGATCCTTAAATTTCAATAACTGAGAAATGCTATCCCAACTACAAAAATCAGGGCCAACACGGATTACAACCAATCACTTCATGATAGGGTCCAACCAATCACGTCATCATAGGGTTTCCCAAACATACGCTCTAAAATACTCAGGTTACCATAAATGAAAAAAAAACTTGGCGATAATTCAAGGGGTACTTCAAAATATAGACTACCCAGGCAATTTTCAACATTCCTCTAACGTCTCTGATCTTTGTTTTGTAATCGATATAAAATGATATATATATATCATTAAAATGATATATATATATCATTTTAACGTTAGCTGATTTTATGGCATCTTTGTTTTTCACAGTCACAGACATACAGGTGATAGGCGTACGGTATGCAATAGCCAAGTCCTGGTTATGGAAGCCATCTTCATACTTTCTAACAATCTCTTTTTTTTCACTTTCTCTTTCTCTTTTTTTATCACTTTCTTTCTAACAATTTTCTTCGCTGTTTGAGTCTTCGAGTTAGCTTTCTTAAAACTCTTTGTTAATGAATTTAGAAAAACATTACGCAAAAAAAAAAATTAAAAAAAAAAAAATAAATAAATAAATAAATAAAAATAAAATCACTTGAAAATTTAGAGTTATATCGCGGGTTATTCACTGAGGCGTACTGACTTTCATGAGTATTCGTAGCGTTTTCTCGAAAGAGGCAAACAAGTGTAATGCGCGGAATCGTGACTCTTCGAGTCGTATTCTAAACAAATATCGTATGTCGAACACAACAGTTAACTTCCAAACAAGACGTATGCCAAAAGCGGACGTATACCAAGGTACCACTGTATTTTCATTAACCATACTTCTTTTTTCATATTTATTCGTATCTTAAACACATCAATAAAGAAAGATTATTACTAGCTATTAAAATATGCACAGCGAAATGATTAGTTATGCTAAAGAAATCTATGCACGGCAACAGTATGTACTAATACAAACTGCTATTCCTCAAATGTTACCCTATAAATTTAAAAAGGCTCAATTACTCATCACTATATAACACATCTCAGTCACTTTACCGATACAAAAAATAATGTCTGATGATTTTGCTTCAGTGAAATTTGTATATAAGGGGCCATAAACTCTATGCTATTCTATTATAATAAAAATTTTGCATGTTTGATAAGAATGCAGTTAATTGGTTTTCACATATACTATTAGTAGACAGCATCATATAAAAAAGAAATTTGTGCATACTCTTTATTTCTAATAAAAACACGTAATTATGCTTCCTTCTATATTTGCATTTGCTCTACGTACTAAACAAATTTGATTTTGAATGACTGAATGTTTTTTTTTTTTTTTTTTTTTCGAAGAAGTTTCTTACAAACTGTAATTTTTTAAATAAAAAGAAGTTGATATCAAAGACTGAATGGAAATCAATATAGTTCATATCTCGCTTTAATTATAGATGAAGAAAGTTAAAATGCATCAGACCCATTTTAAGTGACTGAGAAATGTGCATATTGCACAGAATAAGATTTAAAATAACGCTAATATTAGATATAATTTTTTTATTATCCCTATGCCTAGTTTAGAAAAATTTGTAAAAAAAGTAACTGTATACGTTTAGTTGTTAGGAATAATTTATAATGGCTATGATTGATACTTTAAATAAGCGTGGAAGCTAGGGAGTGTATAAAGAAGGCAAGCGCATATACAAAGAAGATAAAAAGAAGGCTAGCACATATATGCATAGCATTTACAATATAGCTGGGAAGTTCGGAGAAAAGGCAGCCACGCAAGCCAAGGAACGACGCCAACTTACTGTATAACTTACTAAAAGCCAAGTAAAACTCGTTTATGTTCAGTTTTCCATCTTTATCCACATCATCAAACAGCAACATGTCTGCTAAAATGCAGGAAGTAGAAAGTTGACCTAAGTGATCCCGTTCGGCAGCTTGCCATAGCTCTTCCGCTTCCAGCTGACCATTGTTATTCTGATCATAATGAGAAAACATGATGCTCACCAAGTACTCGTTGCCTAGAAATTCAAAAAATATGAAACGTAAATAAATTATGAATAAATCAGTACTCGAAAGTATTTTCAATTGCAAGTTCAGCAAAAAATGTTTTAGATTGATTTCTTTATTTATGTCTCAGATATAAAATTTCTGTGTTTCAAAGACTTTCAGACTTTTATTGAGCTAAGTTAGAATAAGTTTGCTAAATGATTCATGCAAGACACTTAGTTACATGGTTTAAATTTGCTTGAATTCTTTCCTTTTCCAGCTTAAACTATTTAAAATCATATATCTACATTTAAATATCTTAAGAAATCTCATAAATTTCTACGGCACGTCAAAAGGTTTCATAAACTACTTATAAATATGGAAAGCATTAGCCCAAGTCTTCAGTTTATAAGATTTTCCCTGATAAAAATTTAAATGGGACTTTGTAATAAGAAGCTTTTTTTGTCTGTGATATGTCACACATATGTCCACCTATTGATGAGAAAATACACATTTAACGGCATTTTCATAAGAAATGTGAACATACAATACAAACGTAATAGGAGTAATCTTACTTCTTTACCGATTTTTGCCATTATTTAATTATAGTTGTTCTCATTATTACAAATAGAGAATACAGATTACAATACAAATGTCTTTTGCTTTTAATTCCATTTAATTTTTATGTCTTACTTTCTAATTTATCACTTTACATATAGTTTAGATTTTAGTAGTTTTTGTTTGCTTAACAAAACTGATAGAAATGTTATATAACTATCCTGAACCTATTTTCCAAGTTTTAACATTGTAAATATATCGGCAATTTGTCTGCATCACAACTAATAAGTATGTTTTAGTGCTAAACTTTATCAAAAAACGGCCTTCATATTCTGAAATTAAGTATGAGTACCTTTTAGTACCAAATCAAATTATTTATTAGCAGGTATATTTTAAAATATAGCGTTCGTAATTTCTTGATCAAATTTATTGGAAAAGACTTCATATCTGAAATTAAGCATAAGCACTACCGAGTATTTTTAATATCAAATCAAATTATCGAAAATTAATTATTAAATTATAGCGCTGCTACTTCTTTATCAGGTTTATCGCAAATAACTTTCCATTCTGAAATGAAGTATGAGCAGTTTTTTGTTCTAAACCAAATTATCAGAAATTATATTTTAAATTATACATCGTTAATTTTTTTATCAAACGTTGTTTGAGATGAGAAAAAATAAAACAGTATTTTCAGATTTTAACAAGTCTTAATATATTTTAGCAGTTCAATGGTAAAACTTATGCTTTAATAATTATAATCATAAGCATCGTTTTTCTTTCTAATCTAGAAGAAATGTTTTATCTCCTAGTCTTCTAAAAGAAAGTGCTTTAATATTAAACTGAAAATTTATTTTTTAACAGACAATTAAAAACATAATTTATCATTAAGGTCTTTATACTGCAATCAAGGCTGCCTTTATAAATTCAATAATTTAGGTTAGCGGTTAATTTATATATTCCTTATTTATATATTTTTATATTCTCATGTCTTCTAATATTTGCAAGCTATGGGAAAAACTCAATCCGAGGTGCAACAAAACATTAAAGACAAATAATTACTTTATTCCTAGACTGTCGCAATTTGTATCCTCAGAATATCGGGTAAGTGACTGACATATTTCTCAATTATTAAACAATTAAATTCAATATTAAACAATTTTATTTTAATAAAATAAGATCTTTCAGCACCATTTCTTATTCAGAGTTGCGTTTAGGTACTTCTGGAATATTGATGAGAAAATTTTGTATATAATCCCATAAGTACGGGTGTCCAAGCCAGATAAAGTAGCCCGAAAATTTCTTTTGGCCGTGGTCCAGTTGCTATGAGAGTCTTAGAGCAGAACCGACTATGAGATTTAACGGTTAAAAAGAAATGGATGTCCTTTAGCGCAGTTACCAATTTGTGTGAACATGCTAAATAATAAAATCAATATTGTATCTATCAAAGGAACTTTAACTAATGTTTATGTTATCAAACGTATGCGTTATATTAAACGTATATGTATTAGCATTTATCCAAAAATAGACCTGATTTCTTGCTGTCCATCAGCTTAGCATTATTATATAGCAAGAGGTTCTCCTTCATGAAGTCGTACTCCTCGTGAGAGCACTCCCTTTGAGTAGAGTCTGCATTCGGATCCGGTGTAACGCTTTTCGGTTCGAAAGGGGGCAGGTTCTTCCACGACGGCAAAGGACCATCCACTTTCTTCTCATAATAAAAAGCTGGTTTTGTTGTTTTCGAAATTTTATCATAGCCTGAAACGGAAATTTCATAGTTACAATAGAAACATTCACCAGGAACGCAAGAGAAAAGCAATTCGTACCTTGTACGATGTAATTTAATTTTGCAAACACTTGGGCATTTCATTTAAATATTTCTGCATTTTTTATTTCATCATTGTTCAATAGTCTAGAAAATGCGAGTTATGGAAATACAACTGAGACTATAAAGTAATTTACGACTGAGTAAATATTTGTTTCCGATTGAATTTGATATTATCTAAGATTGGTTCAGGCCAGGTACCTTTTTATTGGAAGTTATGTTTGAATCACTCAAATAAAAGTAAATATTTTGACTGATGGGAAAATGTTTATTTTAGAAAAAGGGAGTTCCCGTTAGTTTTTGAAAGAGACGGAGAATTATCGCTTACTAAATAATTCAATGAATTCTATTTAGATCTTGATCATATTGCAAATAAATTCATTTTATATTTCCGCTTTACGTTTCTTTACTCTACTGACAAAGCAGCTGGGCTACTTGGAAACGGTGCTTATCAGCCTGTTTAAACCCTGACAATAATTCTCATTTTGCTCACTGATATACCACTACCTTGAAAAAATAAGCCTATTATGCATTTTTCCAGTTTATGGTATTTCGTCTTAAAGCCGTTACCTGTAGCAGGATGATATCTAGTTATTTAGTCGACTGGAGATTCCAAGAGCTATTTTCAGTGCATTTATTATCATTTATGGATAAGTCTGACAGCGTTATGTGTTGGAGCAGATGTTATTGCCCATGCATGTTTGTTTTCAGCTCATGGAATGCGGAGATGATAAGCACTAGTTTCTGGACAGTCAAAAATAAAATGGTTAGGGTCACCAACCACCTTCACATATGCACTTATATTTCCACTGAGTTGATTTAAAAAATCTGAGCTTTATACATTTAACAGAGTTTTTTTTAAAGATTTCTAACAAAACTACACATCAGTAGTCAAGAAACCAAAGGAAAAGTAGGCCCACCAGCGGCCGAGCGGTAAAGTCGCTGAACACTGGTAGTTCGGTCTGAGGTTCGAATTCCGCGAACGGGCTGGCTGCATGGGTATTTTCGTGGTTTTCCCCATGTGTAACGTGTATACGAGCCAGTTTCCCTTAGAACGTCCTCCACGAAAGCATTCCTTCCCTTAGGCAGATAGCCCTAGTGTGCTTTGCCATAATTAAATACACCAATACCACCAAAAGAAATACTTCTAAAAAGGGAACAGAATCAAAAGGAAGAAAACTTCTTCTTCTTCCTCTTGATTCTGTTCTCTGGATCTGTTTCTGAAGAGCACGCTGAGTGCATGGAGCTTTATGGGTTTGCTAATACGAAACGTGAATATGAAAGTTATCGCGTTTTATAGATTAGAGAGCATGTATTAAAATAGAAAAGACTATTTTGAAAATGATAGTGAATAAATTGTTATGTGACAAATAACCAGTACAGAATCAAACAAATATGGACATCACACTGCGTACTAATAAAAAAGATAAAAGCACGCCAACTTCATATTTTTCAACAATTCATTTTGAACTTAAGAGGCGATCCTAATAATTTCATTTAACGCTTCTTCTCACTAACAAAAACTATTTGCTAATGAAGTTACAAAATATTTATGCAATAAAATGCAACATCACTTGAATTTCAGAGTTATAGCTCGAGTTGTTTGTTGAATAGACGTATTGACACTCATTGGGCAGTCACAGCATTGCTTTGAAAGAGATAAATAAGAATACTTACGAGTTATCGCAACCACTTTAGTAGAAAAAGCCGGATTTTCTGAATGCACCAAACTCTGGCAACCATGCGCGTAACCACTCTTTAGGCAACCATTGTTATAACAATCCTTCAGTCAAGCAATGTCTTCATCTTCGTATTAATTTTGTTGCATTCCAAGTACCAACAATTTTTATAAACAAACCGTGATAATTTTTGCCTTAGTTTTGAAATATGCGCTTTGGGAATCTGCTAGCAATAGAAGAAACTTCGGCAAAATTTCTGCAGGAATACAGAATTTCTCCAGAGAACAACGATGAAATGCATTTCACAGATAGCCATTGTAACAAAAGTTTGCACGATGAGTCTCTGTAGTTCTCTGATTCCCCCCCTCCCCTTCAGCGAAAACATTTCTCTGTGTATTTGGGAGAAAGATTATTGGAAAAAAAAAAAAAAAAAAGCGAAAAGATTTGGAAACGAATGTAAGTGTTTTAATTTTTAATGTATCAAGAAAACCTTATTTAACAGCTGAAAATTTGTTTACTTTTCATACGTCAATAATGTTTTCCATCTTAAATAAACATCGCTAGTTTTGGAACCTTCTTAAAAACTGTCGCGAAAGTCACCACCTTGTACCCGATAAATAACTTTTATTAAATTTTTATCTATAAAAAATAGCTAAATTGAGCCAAGATGGTTGCGTTAATACCTAAGTACCAAAATTAGTGTAGTACGCGCAGTTGGGGTTCATTGAACTCGAGATGCACAGCAAACAAATTTAGCGGGAGTATATATATTAAAATGAAAATAAATTATTACTCAAAGTGGGAGTATAGTAATGGTTCTAGTAATTCTTCTTTAGAAATTCGCTTTTCGATCAACAGTCGGGAGTTCGCAGTCTGAGCCTTCTTTTATCAATCAAAACTGCAACTCTAACGAGTAAAGGCAGCCTGAATCACAATTCAATCCAGCTGGTCATGAGGTGTGCGGAGCTAACCACCACACAGTCTGAATAATAATACTATAATTATGAAGCAATAACTTCTTTTGACCTTGTGAAGCAGCTGCAGGACTGTTATTTAAAAAATAATTAAAAACAAAACCATGAGTAAAAATTAACAGACGCTGCTATCCAATAAGAAGAAAGTATCTCCATATTTTTTATTCTGTATTTTAATCTTCATGGTTCTCAATTTTCATTAATTATTTAAGGTGCTTTGGCTTTATCTGCCCGCAATATCGTATAATAGTAAGAAAAAATAATGTGATAGAATTACACGTAATAAATAATAAGAGAATGAGAAAATTGAAGTAAATTATAAAGATGGTAGTTGATCATGTCAGTTAGTTTTTATCTTAGGTGGAAACTGGTTGCCAGATTTTGCGGGTTGATAAAGGAACAGTACCTTATTCCATTTGCTAAAGCAAATTACTTACATTAATAGCTTACTTATTAATCTATTTATGAAATATTAAAATGAAAATAAATTATTTTTTATATCGCCTACGCCATATGACAGGTGATTGTGAAACAATTGTAAAGGAAATTGTAAAGCATTTACAGGACACATTTCGTAGTCATTATTTCCAAAATAAAGCTATAAAGATGGCCCGTGATTTATTTTTATCGAAGTCTTATCCAGAATCCCGTGGCTAAAGACAATCAATTTCCAAGCTGACAATTTTATAAATCATAAAATGCCATTTTGCATTATGCAATATGGTGCTGCCATCTATCGACAATACGCATAATTATATTAAAGGTCGGCTTATGAGCATCTGTCGAGTAAACAAACCTACTTTTTATTATCGGTGAAATATAAAGCGATTTTTTTATACAGAGCCAATGCTTTGCAGATATAGAAAAATACAATAAAATAAGATAATGAGCTTACGTTTTTTCTTTAAGCAAGTGTCTTTGTGATCGATCACAATATTCTTGCCTGTCAAGCAGGCAGATCGATGGAGTTCACAATGGTTGACGTAATAATGTCCATCGGACCCGCACACCGGCTTCTTTCGCTTCTTACAGGCTCTTTGGCAGATGCACACTGCTTCTCCCAATTGGTTCACCTCACATTCGCGACCTCGTCCACACACTGTTGTTTCGCAAGGATCTGAAAACAAAGAATGAAGTCATATAAAGGATATTACCAGTTTTGAGAAAATGAGCAATGTAAATATTAAATAGAGGTCTACTGGATTGTATATAGAAAAGTAATTAAGCATTATTAACTACATTATTATTTATCATTTAATCCACAAGGAAATAAATTAAGAAAATCAGATACAGTAAATTGTGTCGTAGGTTTATCTCCAAAAGAATAACAGTGCACGCCACTTAATGTGGTCACGGTTAATGTTATCATTCGAATACTGGTAATGAATTGTTGAAGTCCTATCCTTTTGTATACGAAAGGATGGATTATCGCTTATCGTGATCAACAATTTACTAAATATGATCAAAAGATTGCAGAATAAATATTTTATATTGAAGAAAAGTCGCCAAATGGGATGAAATGTATTATAAAAGTTGCGAAGTTACACAGAGCCTATCGCCAAATAAGAGAACAAGTCGTCAGAAATTTCTTTCTCGATTTGGATTTTCACTAACTTTGTAGATATCAGGGGAACAGACACAGGTTTTGTTCTTCAGAAGCTAAGAAAAAGGCCTAGAATGTTTCAAGAAAGTCTCTCAAAATAGCTACACGCAATGAAAGTTGCTTTTTTGCTTAATTTTTAAGTTTTACATTGGTAAGTTCTCTCTTAGTGAGGGATTCTTTCTGAGAGTTAAGATTAGAGATACAACATCGGTTAAATAATTTCCAGAAACTTTATAAACCGTTCATAAAAAAATTCAAAAATTCTCTATATTCTTCCCTATTTATTGAAAGACTGGAGAGGAAGGAGATCCAAAGTGAATAAATAAACAAATGAATAAATATAATAAAAAATAAAACGTAGAAAAGTAAAACGTAGAATTAAATAAATAAATTAAATACAATAATAACTGAAATCTAAGAAATTAGACCATGATTTATTGCAGGGAGATGCCCAACTTAAGTTTTGAAATTGAATATTAAAATTTTGAGTTCTTTTTACTTCCTTGTACGAAGTAAAAAGGAAGTATTGTAATCGCGAAAAGTTTCAGGCAGCATATTTCAACGAAAATATCCACTTTGACCGTTATCGAATGCAATTTAACGATGTTTTTGCGTGATATCTGTACATAAGGACAGAATAAAAGACTCTTTTCCTCAAATATATATATATATATATATAAAACTGCTTTAAAATGAATTTTGAAGAGAATTTTTCGTGGCGTCTGTACGAACGTATGTACGTACGTATCTCGCATAGCTCAAAAACAAGTAGCCTCAGAACGTTGAAATTTTGTATATAGGACTGCTATAACATGTAAATGTGACATGTATAACATGTAGATGTGACATGTATAACATGTAGATGTACGTACATACGTCTGTACGAACGTATGCGTACGTACGTATCTCGCATAGCTCAAAAACGAGTAGCCTCAGAACGTTGCAATTTTGTATATAGGACTGCTATAACATGTAGATAGACACCACGTATTTTGGTTGCACTCGGCCGCACCAAACGTATATAAATATATTTATATATATAATATATCCTGTCTGTCACCCGGCTCAGTGATCTCAGTTTCTTTATACTTATATGTTTGTAAATTGTACATTTTGTTTTTGCTTTAAAAATGATTAAATTATGTTGCTTTTATCTTCCGGTTAAGGTTTTTATGCCTTTAGTAAATCTGTATGGAATATTTTTAGAATTATCAACAATTTTAAAGTTGTTTAAGTGCCGCTAAACCTTTTTTTTTTTTTATGGCGGCCATTCATTATTTACATTTGAAACAGCAGACTAGTGGATTTGTTGACAATCTCGAGAAACTTAGCTTCGCAACAACAAAGGTAACGCCTTCATTTATTATTGCCAATTAAATCATGCTTAATCCTTTCTGGAATTTTTTCGAGGAATTTTTTAATATAGATATTTTGAAATTTTATGTATTTTTGCCGAAAATACCGAGAAATACTCAATCGTCTGTGAAAAACTGTTTCTTTTTTGTTTTGTTTGCTTAATTTCTTTTATACATCGTTCTAGCTTTAATATGGTATTTGAATAGAACATGTGGCTACGATTAGATAATTCTATTCTTTAAATGATATAAATTTTGTGCATTATGAGTTATAATATGAACGAAATATAATATTGTTCAGTGAATCTAGCGCCAGAGTGTGTTTATGGTAAACAAATACTAGAGGGAATTTTAAAGAATGCCTTTATTTTATTGTGGTTTATGCGCTGTCGGCGAAGTAGATTTAATTCAATCCAATAAGTTTAAATGAAAGTCAAGAAAAAATGCGTATAATTTAATATTCCGTACAAGTAAGTCATGTGGTGTACACATCAGATTTTTTTCTTTTTTATAGCCAGATCTACGTTTAATTCATCCATACATGTACTATTCGATCAGTTTCTTGAACTTCGTTTGCTTGATTTAAATCCCTAAAAGTTATATGAAATAGATGTTCATATTTATTATCTAACTTTATCAAAATAAGTTTAAGATAAATCACAACTTGCCCATGTATTATATTTTATGAAGTACATACATGGTAATTTCTCCATTTGCAAACATATTTTGCACAGTACGGAAAAGGTCGAAGAATAAATAATTAAATCTCTTTCTCTAGAGTGGAGATAATTCCCTCTGTATCAATCGATAATTAAATCAATTAACTTTTGATGATTACCGTGAGCTGTCAGTGCGAAATAAACTATCTGCAAGGATATTTTTCTTTTTGTATGTGCGGAACAATTTTATTATTCGCATTTTTTCCTTTTGCAGAATGTGCTAGCTTTATGTTTTAAAAGTTCTCTCAGAAAGATTACTAAAGAAATGTATAATGAATTCTTTTCGAAGAAGCAAGATTGAACGCTGATCAAATTTTATCGAAAACAGGAAAAGGAAATATATAGAACAATTTATTTGAGAAGTGTAGAAGCAATGCAATTAAAATTGTTTCAAGTATATTTTTAAAGATGAAGATGCATGTCTTTTCTCTTTTTCCTCTTCTCTCTCTCTATTATTCGTATTCATGTAACTTATCGAATTCTCAGGAGTTTATTTCAAAAAGGGCATCGACCTATAACAACTTTTCATGAAATATAAATATACAAAATGAGGAGCTATTTCAGAATCACTATGGGGGATATCCTAAGCTTATTTTGAATATTAATGCACTGAATCATGTATCTTAACAAAAATGATATTAAAAAGAACAGGCAAAAGAAAAACTATCAATTAAAAGATTCATTCATTATTACAGAATATTTCTGATCAGTATCGGGATTGCAGAGAAAAGGCAATCAAGTGCAGTACCAAATTATAGTAATCTAATTAAAAAATATGATAAAAGCCTACATTGCTCTATGGTCATTAGGTTTCTTTGAAGTAGGAGACATGAGAAATTGGCAATGTCCTCGCCGGGACTCGAAGACTGGTCCTCTCGAATAAGCCTCGCCTATGCTTCCAATTGCATCACGAAGGCAGACGGAAAAGACGGTGAAAATATTTCATAACTATATAATTAATTTTTTTGTTCTTATAGAGCACTTTAATATTATTTTGCTTTCATTATTTGCCATGAATTTTCATTCATTTGCCACGAATGCGTATATTATTTCTATCTTCAATTAACTGAACTGCTTTCTGAAGGTACTGAGCCTTAAAAACATTACGTCAAGTAAGAACCGCAAGTCTTAAAATTCTCGAAATTTGTATAAATACAGCGCTGTTTAAATACGGATTTTACTCCTTATTTTTAGCAGATGTCTTAAATATAAATCTCCTCTTTTACTCTGACAGTAGCTGTATGCTGATAAAACAAATTTTAATTAAACAACCTTTATTTCATGTTTATTAGTTACAAAAGACATTATTGCGGTTTCTTAAAATATCCAGATCGTTTAGACAGTATGAGTATTAAAATGTTTTCTATCTAAGCATTCATGATTCCAGTAAAATCTTGAATAAAACTGAGTAATAAATTCGCTTGGAAAACTAACTCATTAGTTTCTAATCTTATTTCCGTCACTGTTATTTTTCTAATTAGCTAAGGATTTTGTTTAAGCTCAGGCAATTAACCAAATATCTTAACACGCTCTAATTATATTCTACTAGGTAAGTAACTTTGTTTTCTTGAAACATTTTCTTAAGAAAGAATAACTTATTCTCTGCAGAACCCCTTGCTGTTTAGGTGCATTATAAGATGAATTCATATTAACCTTCCGAAAATCTAACAGAATAAATGCAGATTTATAATGTAAATAAATATTTTCGAGGTTTCCCACATCGTAAACGAATTTTGATTTATTATGTAGAAGTATATTATGTATGCATTTGCTTTTGTATATTAATAAGTACAATATTAAATCAATTTCATTAATTCTGAATTGAATTAAATATGTAATTCTTCAGAAAGATATATTAGTTTAAGTTATCCTGCGATTTCTATCTTATAGAAATCCTATAATGTTCTAATCCTTGAATACATTTAAATTTTCTTATAATATTGCAACGCATCTTAAAGAAAACGTAATTAAAGGTCGTTTTTCTAGAACGTTTTGGACACTTTAGGATATATTGCAATATCATATACTGATCTCAGCTGCTGATCCATGACTCTGTGTAATATAAAATAAGAAAATTAAATTCTTTTCAAAATGCAAATATCTGTATTTTGAATGCTTATCTCGGATGCAGATTTGCTTTATTTAAAGAATAATAATATGGTTCTGAAAAAGAGTGACTCGTACCAAACTCAAAAATAAATACAGCTATTAATGAGAGACATGCACCAATGTCAAAATAAATACTAAACGACAATTCAGTCTTAAATTGGAGTTGGTTTATTAAAATTATAGTCGATTTCAAGGCAATCAGATAATGAATAATGTAATACTTATTATACTGAATAGTGTTTATTCAGCACATACAAGTATTTTACTTAATGCTTGAATATTTAATTAACTCTGTGCAAATCTGAAACATTCTAGATGATTTGGTAAATCCAAGCTGACCATGCCGAAACCTTTTGCATTGATGTATTTGGAGGAAAGAAAGTCTCTCAAAGATGAGATTTTACCCAAAAATGGACACGAAATGCATCGGCTTTCGCCCTTTGTAGATTTTTAAATAGCTTTCGATTTTTTAATTTCAAGAAAAGATACCTAAAACTGTTTTTTTAACAGAATTTAGTATCGTATCGCATTTGTATAATTTTGTGATTGGACAGTTAAATTTCATAATCATCACAAATCCAGCTGCCAAATTTCTCAAAACAGCTTTGATCACAGTGGCTATTTTAGTTCTGAAAATGCTGAATTATAATAAATTTTAACTATAATAAATTCATGATCATAATGAGAGTGTTTTCACATTCATGGGGAAACTAGTAGGAATATTCTGGGCAGAAGAAAAGCATTTTCATTATCAACAGATATTTCATTTACTTCAGCAACTTGATTACACGATATCATGTGAGGGACTTAAAGAAATATTTTGACACTGCGTTTTTTTTAGCAACTTTCAAGTGAGAAGATCTATCCATCATTTCTTTCAAAAGATAAACCTTAGACTCATTATCATTCGGTCTTCATCTTCTTGATATATTTCTTCCTCATTCCTCTTGCCATCATCAGGTGGATTTATTCTTTCACTAAAATTGAAATTCCATCGTCGGTCAGTTTTTTATCGCTAGATGGGGGAGTTTCAATACAATAAATTTTTTTAAATAAAATTAATGTCAGAGCGAAAGGTGTACAGTTAACAGAAGGGTTATCATTCTCGACATTTTGTCTCGCGCAAGATGTGGTCGCACCATTTTTGGCTTAGTTACCATTAGCCGAGAGAAAAGCTTTTACTTTAAAAGAGTTATTTATTCGATAAAATTAGCTTAACTCATGATATGTGAATAACTGAGGATAAAAGTTCCTGAGAACGAATGATAAGAGCATCAGACGTACAATATGTCTTACATACGTAATGTACAATATGTCGCATATACGTAAATCCGTCCCTGTGGTCTCTAATGTATAAATGTAGAAAATTCTTGCTCAGTTGCAGAAATGCGAAGGAAGAAAGACAAGCCAGTGCGCAGACGATAAGAATAAGAGAAATAAACTGAAGCTACTGGAGCCACCTATCGATGAAATAGGAAAGAAACTATAATATAATTTCCTTAAAAATTTAGAGTAAAACCGGATTGACATTAGGATCATTAAGAAGAACTGAAAAATTTTTATAAAAATGAAAAGGTTTGTAGAAAATCTAATTCGCCCACAGAAGATGTTTTTAAAATAAATCTTGGCTGCAGAAAAATGAGAATTTCTGACCAACAATGCTGAGAAAGAGGATTTACGTGTTTTCCTCCTTATATATGGCTCATATTCTTTAACTCAAACTTTTAAGGCTCTCTTAGCTTAACCAGTGTAAATTAAACCATACTGGAAAGAAAGCTTGTATATACCCTAAAAATTCATATCCGGAACAGTCCTTAATTACGGAACTGCAAAATTTATTGCAGGAAAAAAAACACGCTAAAGTCGAATTTCTGTAAAATATGTGCAATTTTACAGCTAATTGATAGACAGAAAGAAATGATAATAGAATTATTTTAATCTCCTGAAACGAGAGCGTGTCTTTTGGTTTGCTCAGATGGGACATTTTTATCGCTTGATGAATAATGTTAGGTGAAAAGCCCTTGTCAATAGCAACTGCTGTTAAGCAATTTAGTTCTTGGTCAACAGCTGATTTGGAGAAGCAAACTTGAATCGCTCGGGAAAAGGAGGAATAAAATGAAGCTAACTTCTATTTAGCAGAATAGCACGAATTAAAGGGGGATGGAAGGAAAACAGAATAAGGTATTTGATAAAAAGTACTACTAAAGTTGGATATGTTGCGTGTGACCAAGACATCGAGGAACGCAAAAGAATCAGATGTCTGAAGCTCACAAGTGAACTGTATAGCAGGATCGGTGGAATTCATTATTGAAAGAAATTTATTTAAATAAGCTTCATTATCGTGTATTATATTTTCCAGAGGGACTGACTGAAGCTAAAAAAGTGCTGAAAAGTGTCTCAGACCACGTCTCGATAACCCAAGACTCAGGAATTCCCCTTCTAAACAAATTATGTGACAAAACCTCCTCTGTTTGAGTAAATACCAGTTCTTCAATTAATAAATAATTGCACTGCAATTTATGCCCCCAATTGTTTCACGATGTGAAATACCTGTGGCTTCCGTAGCAGAGTGCCAGAACTGGAGAACGCCTTTAATGAACATGATATAAATATAGGGATCATCACTGAAACTCACTCCTCCCCTAGACAGAGGCTTTGCATACCTAATTATTTGTCATATGTATGTGATAAACTCAGTTATTATGGTGGTGATGGTGTAATACCATACATTAAAAGAAATTACGACTTCTACCTAGTCAGAAAAAGTAGACAACGTGGATTTGAAACGTGGAAAGTTCATAGAGCCATCAGTTTAGTGAGCGATTATTGCTAACACGATAATGACGGCTTACACAGAAAACAGAAACCTGGCCGTTTTGAATAACTTGAATTGCTTTCTCGCGAAATTTTTTGTGTGTACAGCTTTAGCACGTCTCGTAAAAAATGCAAGGATCATTCGAGCACGTTTCTGAGTTAGATCGAGGCATAATCTTTGCACATAGTGATCGCGGATTATTCTTCCAAGAAATCGGTCATCGTATCGGACGTAGCCAACCAGAAAACATGTGAATATGGAATCAAGGGGTGCAGGAGGCAGCGATAGACAGACTGGAGCAAATGCAACCGCCTTTTAGAACCACTTTAAGGCAGGATACGCATATTGCATGGCACAGATGAAGGGCACTGCCACATCCATAGCTATATCACAATAAATGCGGTTCCTAACACAAAAATCGGTGTCTTCAGGAACAATTCGACGTCGTTTACGACGTCAATGGGCCGTCCACTAAACGTCTAATGCTACACTTACCTTTAACACTAGAACCGCTGAGCGGGTCAATTTGACCCAAACCGATGTTTAATTTGTCACCACGCGAAAAGTATTGATTGAAAAACAGATTCCTTTCATGACTTTTAATAACAACAAGGTAAACAATAACATACCAAATTTGAAACTGCGTAACATAAATAAATTTCGGATTATTCACACTTACAGCTAGAACTCGAAGCGGGTCATTTTGACCCGTAAATGTTTATGCCTAAATGATGAAAGGCAAATGCATTTTCTCGGAAGTAAATGCAAAGTGTACCTGCCTCACCCTCTAATTCCTAAAATGGACTGCACCAAGAAAGAGAGTAGTGTGGGTTTCAGTTAGGGCTCGAAGCGCAAACGAAACTGCAGTGGGAAATTACAGCGAATATTTCGAAAGATATTTTTGAAGTTTATTCTATATTTAGTATAAGGTCAGGTATTTAGATAAGATGTCACGGCGTCGTTTAGGATTGTTCAACACTCTCCAGGAAGCTTTGGAATATTTACAACAATTATCTGAAAATGATTCAGAAGATGATGATAATTATGACAGTGTGTGTTTCGATTTGAGTAGCGAGGATGAATATCTGCCTGCTAATAAAGAAAATTCGAATTCAGATGAAGAAAATGAAAGTGATGATGATTCTGGCAGGGCCCTAACAATCTCTGGACCTTCTCATTGCAATAATCATTATAGTTTATCAAATAATAAAAGAAAAACAAAAAATTATAAGAAAAGACGCATACACTCAAGGAAATCCAGAAAGAAATCAACACTAACATTCAAAGTCGGAAATAAAGAAGTTGGCAAATTTTGGAATATCGTAACCATTAGGAACAAATGATAAAGGCAGAAAAGTAAAATATTTTGAAGGAAGTTCGGGACCCAACACCACATGGTATAGTCAGTATTATAGACATCACTCCGTCAAGTGCTTGGAGACTTTTCATAGATGAAGAGATATTGAAGCATACAAAGAAATGCTCTCAGGATGAAGCTCATAGACAGATTCATGATAATGAATGGAATATAATAGTAGAAGCAATGGATGCTTTTATAGCAATTTTATATGCATGTGGTATATATTGTGCAAAATGACTTGAACTGGAATTTGAATAAATTTGGAATCAAGTTCTGCTTAGCTGGAGATGTTGACTCAAAATATCTATTAGCCAGAGAAGTACTTCAGTAAAAGCCAAGGCTCCCACTTGATAGATTGTATCAGACTGTTGCTCTGTAATTTTTCTTAAAGTTAAATGTAATGTCCGTGTGTAACTTAAACCTGTTAATAAATATTTGTTACACTATACAGGACTTTTCTATGACCCTATCTTAAACGACCCCTTTACAGAAGCGAATTAAAAATGGACTATTCGATTTATTTCGGAAAGCTGGCATTAATTTCTGTATATGTGGTAATTCTACGTATGCGGTAGGTAATTCTACATAAACGCATATAGCAATAATTCATAATTACCGCATGCAGTCGCCTTAAAAACAATTTTAGATTATGATCACAAGTTCTGTTGCATTATGAAAACTAAAAACTAAAAGATTATTTACTCATGACCTTCTGTTATAGTTCATAAAATATTATATAAAAAATGTGTAGATATTTAAATTTCAGAACCCCAATGTACTCAATGAACTATTTATGAAGTTAGTGAATACAAATTTTTCCATAATCTTCAATAAAATTTTCTTGATTGAAAGCGATAAGTAACGATGTGAAGTTTTAAATTAGACAATAGTTAGGGTCGTTTCAGTTAAAAATAAATGGAGTAATCTTTCTTTCGCCTTTTCTATCATCGAGTATGCATTGCATCATATTTTCTATCCTTTAGATAAAGTAATATCGCTAACTTTGAAAGTTTACTTCTGAATTTTAAAAGGAAAATTCTGCTGAATATTAAATGAATCACTTATCATACTTACCAAAGAAATATATTGACGAATCATAATATTTAAACGCAATATGCAAAGTTTAATTTAACATTATTCATCAATTATAGTTTTATTTTATTTGTCCTATCATCCTTTCACTAATAAATCACGATCAGTTTTCAAAGACTTATGCAAATCAAAGGATAGCTAAAAGCATGAAATTTAAACTCGAGTTATAAAAGTACAGATTTTTTTGAGCGAGCATTTGTGCTTTTACAGTTGAGCTACGTATATGGATTTATGTTTCATTGTTAGACATATTTCTTTTCTAGCTTGCTGCTATTTCAAAAGAAACTTAGACTATCAGGAACTTGCTGTACTTTCATTGAGTGAAAGATAAATTAATCTTGTAGGGTGATTAGGTTTTTTTTGAAGAATGAAACATGAAAAATGAGCAATACCTTAACGCCGGGGCTCGAACTCGGACCTCTCGAATACGCGCCGTGTGTGCTACCGTTACACCACGAAGGATGCAGAAAGGAGGGAGAAAATACCTTATAACCTTTTGATGTAAATGAAAGTTTAATTATAAATCACTTATGTATATAAGAATACGTTGTTGTGACTTCCGCAATGACATCAGTAATCTGACAGTAAGATCAGCAAAGACCACGAATTTTATCATGTGAGAAGCCTAGCATATGCGTTTGGAATTGCCTAGAAATGTGGCACAAGCCTTAGCACGTTATAGATGAGAGGACGAATTCGAAGTTTGAAAAAGAATGCCCCGGAGAGGGACTGCATTTCTTTCTTGTATCGGCATTTGTTTCAAGTTGTATACCCACAAAGAAATTAGAACATGAAACTTTGCTTTTCAATGTTCTTCTGCTAACGACGTGTGGAAATTTCATAGATGAATAAATTCATGTAGCTGAATATACCTGAACGATATATTATATTTCCGAGATGAAAAACAGGAATTCATATTGATCTATCTGGAATTTAACAAAATGTATTATGCTCTGTATCTTGTACCGGGAAAGGAATACGTTAGAAAAAGACAATTCTTTGGAGTGATTTCGGAATTGTTGGTGCTTCTGTTATCGTCTCGTTTGATTGCGGAAGTAAGCTTTGATATCATGTTTCAAAAGTTTTAATTTGCATCAGGAAAGCTCTGAAAATTACTCGAGGAAAACTAAAATATAATTAGTCTCACTGAATAATTGAATATGCAAACTAGTTCAACGGAAAGGAGTTCACCCGAAAAAGGCAGCATTTACACACACACATTTTGAGAGCATTTGGGCTAACGTCCCTTTGGGATAAAAATATTTAGAAACAGCATAGAATTTCCGATAGATAGTCTTGCGCGCTGGAGATAAAAATGTTTTATTCCGTATAATGCTGCCTTTGCTTGCTTTTAAATCGTTCAGTTTGTTAATCAATAATTCGCTAAAGTTTTACACAATATGAAATATATTGTAGAGTCTTTAGATTATTTCGAAGCAGGAGACGTGAAAAATGAGCAATGCCCTCGCCGGGACTCGAACCACGGACCTCTCGAATATCTGTCGAGCATGCTGACGACTATAACACGAAAGCATGCTAAAACGGCGGGAGAAATACATTATAACATAAAACCAAATTCCAAATTCGGGCTTCCAGGTGCCCATATTTGAGTGCAGGACTATTATTCAAAGTTTGGGGGCTCTAGGTATAGTTGTTTTTTCACAGTGGGAGAAATATACATACATTCATGCAGATTCTTCATTATTTAATTGCTTTAAATATAATACAGGGCGATAATGTTTGGTGGCAAGAATTTGAAAAGTGATTCAATGCTTTTATTGATTTTACGCAAAATACCATTTTGAGATTAAGAGGCCTCGTGGGCTAACGCCCCTTTGGGCTAAAATGATGCGAAAAACGTATTAAATTCTTACAGTGAAGCCCTCAGTGAAAAAAGGAGAAAATGGTCAACCCACATAACAAATACAATACATAAACATAATCGCAATACTGAATGAAGCAAAATGCTCAGTCTTTCAACAGCTGTAAAAACGAAGGCTGCGAGCCCTTTCATAAAGTGAAAAGGAATGAAGCAATATTTTAATCTACTAATATGACTGACAAAGAGGCTTTTTAACGATGTTGACAAAGCGGGTTTTGACGATTCTGAAAAAGACTTTAGAAGACGAACTAAGTCAATTTAAGCATCAACCAGAAAAGGCACCAGAATCTTCAAGAAAGTTAGGCAGAATGGGAATATCAAAATTAAGAATATAGAGTGGGGCGAAAATAACAAGCAATAAAATATAGATTTCATTGAGAAAATTCCAAATGATGAATTACGTCAAACGAACAGCTGAGAAACTGAAGTCTTTATGCACAAGAAGCAACTCAC